GCTGCTGCCAAATCATGGCACCTATACCAGTTGGATGTTACGAATGCCTTTCTACACGGAGACCTTACCGAAGAAGTTTACATGCGCGTTCCACAAGGTTTCAATCATCACAAACCACATCAAGTATGTCGCTTACGTAAATCTCTCTACGGTTTGCGGCAGTCCCCTCGCAATTGGTTTGCTAAGTTGCGGTCTTCCATTGAATCATATGGCTTCATCCAATCCAAGGCAGATTACACCCTATTCACCTTACACAAAGATGGCCACTTTGTTGCTCTTCTCATCTACGTTGATGACATTATTCTAACGGGCGACAATGATGCCTTATGCACCGATGTCAAGGTCTTTCTCCAGTCATGCTTTCACATCAAGGATTTGGGGATTCTTAAATATTTTCTTGGCATCGAAATAGCTCACGGTCCATCAGGTCTTTTTCTGAGCCAACAAAATTACGCTCTCGACATATTGGAAGACGCTGGTCTCCTTGCGTGCAAACCATGTGCCTTCCCTCTCGAAACAAATCATAAGCTTGCAGTTACAGAAAGTCCTCCATTCTCGGATCCCGCACGTTACAGAAGACTCATAGGACGTTTGGTTTACTTGACAATTACTAGACCTGAGTTAAGTTACTCCGTCCATGTTCTTTCCCAGTTCATGCAAAATCCTACTATTGCTCAATATGATGCTGTCATCCGCGTTTTAAGGTACATCAAAACTGATCCTGGCCAAGGTTTACTCCTTCGATCCGACAATGATCTCCTTCTTCGTGGATATTCTGATTCGGATTGGGCTAGCTGTCCACTCACCCGTCGATCAGTTACTGGTTATTTTATCATGTTGGGTACTTCTCCTATCTCTTGGAAAACAAAGAAGCAACCCACAGTGTCTCGCTCCTCCGCTGAAGCTGAGTATCGTTCAATGGCAGCAGCTACAGCTGAGTTGTTATGGATCAAATCGTTTCTGGACTCGCTTGATGTTCCACATTCACACCCTATGCAGTTGCACTGTGATAACCAATCTGCCATGCAAATAGCTGCTAATCCAGTTTTCCACGAACGTACCAAACATATAGAGATTGATTGTCATTTTGTACGCGATCATGTTCTCAGCAATACAATCACTACTACCTACGTTCGTACAGATCAGCAACTCGCAGACATATTTACCAAACCGCTTGGCATGAAGCAATTCAGTTTTCTTCGCAGCAAGTTGGACATTTCGTCACTTCATGCTCCAACTTGAGGGGGCGTGTTAGGAGAAGATCACCTTTGATCTTATCCTTTAGCAACTAAGTCCTAGTTTTTAGCAAGAATAGTTTGTTATTATTCCATGTATAGTTTGTTGAACAGTATACTTTATTCTAGTTGATCCTCCTTGATTCTGTATAACCGACTTGTGTATATATTGGCTATCAGCCATTTCATTAAATATAACAACATATTCAAATCCTCTTAGTTTTCTATAATTTGTGACAAGCATTTTTTACTTTTATTTTGGGTATCATTTGATTTGCATTTATTCTTTTGCTAAATCAATGAATTTTGTTGTCGTGATTAAATATTGAACAAGGTGTGATTCTGTTACGATTAAATTGCAAAGTACGGTATTTACAATTCGACATTGGAAACATAAATTCTGATATTGGGTTTATATAAACTTTAGACTCTTTTACCTTACACTTTAAGTATGGGACTCTCCAAAGGTTGTATCAAATTCAATTTTAGACCTGAATTTCATTAACAAACCCTAATGTTAGGAGAAGATCATCTTCTCCTAACACCTAACACTAAGAACTGAGGAGATAAAGAAAAAAATAATGTTGATACCGTTATTGATCATTTTCTCAAATTATGAAACATTAAAAAAAAATCTGTTGTGAACTATGTTAATACCGTTACGATGTTTCTTTATATGATTGTTAATAGTCGCAAATTCGCAATACTTGTATTGGATGGAAATGCCACCCAATCGCCACATAATCTTGCAATCAAAGAAACATAGTAGTCAACTTCGGCCGAATACAAGACGAAAGTTACCTGGACAATTCCTCATCGATTTCTTCTGTTCCTCGAAGTGGACGTTTGATTTTTATATAAATAATTTCAACAGTTTAATGACGTGAAGTAATGTTTCTTTTTCTATTTAAAATGACTTTAAGCATTAGGGTTCAGTGTAATCAACTATGTGTTGAGGTCTCCAAATCAAATTAGTTTACGTGATCCTATAAGATTTTTTGACGGTGAAATATGATTAAATAATAACAGTTTACAGTTCACCATATATGTATAATAGGAAATTAATTTTTTCATTTTACATGAGAAAATTTTTTCACGCTACATTCACAATACATGATTGGGGTTCACAAAAAAGTGAAAAGACAAAAAAGTCAATATGAGATCCACTCATGTATTGTGAGTGTAGATCTCTGACTCACCCTGTACTTGCCATCTCTGACCTTATGTATAGAAAAAATTTTGTTGGGAGATATTGTATCCACGATTGCATGATCTCTCCGTCTCGAGGGGATTAATCCTTAACTTTCGGCTGAGAGATACCATTGGAACAATTTCCAAATACATATAAAAGATTATAACTCATTTATTGCTTAACGTTTGAAAACTAAAAAATAATGTTTTTACATATAATTAATGATTTAAACTAGTGTAACGTAGTATATAAAACATATGCATAAGCGGTTCAAAGACTTAATGTTGGAAATTTAAACCTGCCAAAATGAGTGGTTGGAAATGAATAATCTCACTGACGCCAATGAAATTAATCTAATTGCATAAAATAATTATTTTAATCCAAAAACTTAAGTTGTTAGGGTAAAATTATTCTAAGAGAAAGGTTATACTCACAATTTAATTTTATTTACAATCTCTTACACTCATATTTTAACAGATGATTTTCGCCAATCAATGATTATCATTTATTTAAATCAAACTCATTAATTAATTATTAATTCACAATAAATGATAATCGTTGATTGGTAAAAATCAACGGTTAAGATATAATTGTAAGAGGTTGTAAACGAAAATATGTTGTAACTTGAAAGTATAACTTTTCTCTTATTTTAATGGTTTTATATTACTTTTTTTCTAACAAGTCGCCTTCACACAAAAGTTCATTGGGCTAAAAGAGTAGTCAATACGCAGGCCTGCCTATTTATAATTAGAAACTTCATAATATTTAATTATTTTTGATACATTAATTATTTATTTAATCAGTACCTATTTGAGAGTTCTTATTTTAAATTTCTCTTTTCTTTTATAAGTAGAAGTTTAGTCAAACACAATTTTACAAAAGTTATTATCATAAAAAGAATCTTTTTAAAGATGTATGTAAACTTCTTGAAGTTCTTTTATTTTATTTTTCAATTTTATCCTTATTCAAAACTTGTATTATTAATTTTATTTACCCTAAGAATTTAACATAAATAAAAAATCATTTCATCTCCTCCCTTCAAAACCCGAAGGACAACTTTATATAATTATTAGCTTTAAGCTTGATTTTTTAAACTCTTTTTGTTAACTTTAGTTTAAAAGTAACTTTTAGTTTAAAAAAAAAAAAAAGAAATATCAAATCGGCTCTTGGCATCTCTCTTTTTTTAAGCTAAAAGTTGTTTGATGATTATATAAAAATCTTAGCTTAAAAGCTCAAATTAAAAATAAGCTGATACAACTTAAAAAAGAATTCCTCCGAAAAGCTTTTGGCTTTTGACTTTTTTCTTCATTATAAAAAAAGCTCTTTTTATTATAACAGCTTTCTCAAAAATTTATTTGGCATAACTTATGCTTATAAGGATAAAAGAAGCTAAAAAAAAAAAAAGGAGTTCTCAAACAAGCAATTAGTTACGAAGACTTTATTCTATATAATAAATAATTTCAACCCAAGAGCTAAAGTTATTAGGTGAAGTTTAATTATTTTATATTATATTTTCTAAAAAAATTTCTTAGACAAGAGCAAATAAAATAAAGGACTATTTCTCATATTGTAAGAGATAATTTTATCTCCTATACACACAGAAAAGTATGTATGACCTATATTTTCTTTTTCTCTCTTCTTTTCACATGGGCCAACATATTTTTACGTGTATGTAGGAGATAATTTTATCTCATGTAACATAGAAATATTAATTAAACCCTAAAATAAATAAAATAAACTTCGCAAAGTGAATTTGAATGTACATCAAAGTTGCTCCTTGTTTCTTTTCTTTTTTTTTCCTGCCGGCCCCTTACTATACAAAATGAATATATTTGAATTGGTCAACCAATACCCTTCTGACTTATTAATGCAGACAAGATTGACTAGTATTAAACTAGCTCTACACGTCTTCACTTGCTTCTCTAATTAACCTATCCAATTTTAATTATCAGATTTGGTTAACCTAAAATATAGAGTACTTATCAACTATATGTAAATATTACTGTGAGCAAAAAAGCATATGAATCATTTTTTACAGATACGTACTTTGAATAATTATATAAAGTTGGAATTATACCTTCTAAAACTTCAAAACCATTTCTAATCAACAGGGATTCACTCTGCAATATATTTTGTAAAATGCAAATTTGAAGATACTGTCACCTCATTTTTAACCGATAAAATCTAAGTTGAATGAGGTGATGGTTACGAACTGGCAGGATCGAATAAATAAATATGGATATCATATTCTGGGCCATACTCAGAAGCCAGAACCACATCACATGATTCATGTTCAAAATTTTCTGTTAGCTTAAGCTATTGACTTACTTTAATTGTCCGATAATTATGATGACCAAAACTTAGCTGGATAACGAAATGCCATCCTTCCTATTGGGAGGAAAATTCAATTGCTTCCTCAAATCACATTGCATTATTGTATTATATCTATACGTGCAGCCAAAGTCTTAATGTCTTTCTATATATATAGGGTTCAGTACCATGTTTTGGAAACAGCATAGAGAAACATTTAGCATCATTTCATTAGACTACAAGCATCAAGTCCCTTCAGTAACATGAAAATCTTTCGGTTTTCAGTAACATCAGCTTTTGCTCTTCTGCTAACTATTTCCTTGGCATCCGCTGCTGTTGTGGAACATACTTTCAATGTATAAATATATGCTCCTTCATTCACCCGCATTTCTTGCCTTAGATGATAAGCATATGTTGAGTTATGAGAATTAGCAAGCTAGCCTCTGTTTGCCCCCTTCGTCCTTATTATTCCTCATGTATGTATAAAAAAGGGGTTAAGTATGTCATTTTAATGGACATAAATTGTATCATTTTAATTTTCTACACTATATATTATGGGTAGTATATAATTATAATATGAAAAATTATTTTTTTTCTCTCTCCACATCAGCTGGAATGATTGAGGAAAGAGAAAAAAAAAGTAACTTTTCATATTATAATTGTGTACTATCGATAATACATAGTATTAAAAATTAAAATGATACAACTGTATCATTTAAAATCACAAACTTCTTTCCCGTACAAAAAAAAAACTTCAAGATTTCTTCAAATCTTACTACGTATGGAGCCACTATCGGCCACTATCGTGTTGTCTTTGCTTAAGTTAGTTTCAATTTTTCTTTTTCACCCTTAGGCTTCGCCATTCAACTAGACCATTGAACTAATTATAATTTTGTTACGGAAATTGAGATCACCACCCCAAAAGCTAGTTCAAAGAGTAAGAGTGCTAAGGGACGGCTTCACTCACCTATCAGTATTCAATGGCCAAAGATACCTTAATCCAACCTATATAAGTAGTTCTTTCTATAACCTCAACTCTCAATTAAAGTACCAATTATTTGTGACTTTGATCATCACCCTAAGAGCTAACTCAAAGGATGGAAGTGTCCAAGACATTATAAACCCCACATTAATTTCCTATTCAACCAATTTGGAACTCAGTAACAAGTTTATAGAACTTGAGCCATGTATCACGTGAATGTTTTCATGATATTCACTGAGACTTCATTTGTGGCAGGTGGGGAACTTTTCTGTTCAGCGTTTGTGCAAACAACAAGCGATAACTGCAGTCAATGGAAAGCTACCAGGGCCAACAATTAAAGTTAGAGAGGGTGACACTCTTGTCGTTCATGTTTTCAACAAGTCACCCTATAATCTAACTATTCATTGGTAAACCTCTAATTTTCTCCTTTTACTATCAAATGTAAATAAATAAATCTAAGTATTATTGTGGTTTTTTTTTTTTATATTTAAATTAAACATTGTAAATAATTGAGATATTTTTTACTACATATGCAGGCATGGGATTTTTCAGCTTTTGAGTGGATGGTCAGACGGTCCAGAATATATAACTCAATGTCCTATACCTTCTGGTAGTAGTTATACCTATAAATTCAATATTACAGGACAAGAGGGAACATTATGGTGGCACGCTCATTCATCTTGGCTACGTGCAACCGTTCATGGAGCACTAATCATTCGCCCTCGACTAGGACATTCATATCCATTCATTAAGCCATACAAGGAAGTCCCCATATTGATTGGTACTAATTATTTTTCCCTTATTCTTGATTTATCATTTGTTGCTAATCAATTCATCAATTCCCTTATATACAATTTGACTACTAAAAAATATGATCTGAAGGACACATTTATATAAGCATATATGTAAATGCAGTAACTATATGTAATTAAGGTAATTTTCTAAAAGCTATGATAAATTGCAGGGGAGTGGTGGAATGCTAATGTTTTGGATGTTGAGAATCAAGCACAAGCAACGGGTGCTGCTCCAAATAATTCAAATGCTTTCACAATCAATGGCTTGCCTGGTGATTTCTATCCATGCTCTCAAAATCGTATGTCAATTTTATATATAAAAATGATCTATTCATATATATTTTTAAGAAGAGGTAGGATTCTTTGACACTAGTGTCAAATTTGAAATCTGACATCTTATCTGAGAGTCGTTAGATAAAAAAAGATCAATGGTGTCACATACTTACAAATCAGAGTCGTTGATCTTTTTTTATCTAACAGCTCTCAGATGAATCTGACACCTTATCTGAGAGCCGTTAGATCAAAAAAGATCAATGGTGTCACATGCTTACAAATCAGAGTCGTTGATCTTTTTTGATCTAACGGCTCTCAGATGAAGTGTCAAATTTCAAATTTGACACTGGTGTCAAATGATCCTACCTCTTTTAAGAATTTAACTTCAAGTCTAACCTTACTATTTTTTTATATGCATGTAAAACTTATCTTCTAACTTGGATCCTTTACCAAGTTTATGTACATGTCTAACACATACCCTTTGTTTCACTTTTGATGTATTTAAGAGACATTCAAACTCAACGTGAAGAAAGGAAAGACCTACTTGTTGCGCATTATCAATGTTGCACTCAATGAGCAACAATTCTTCAAGATAGCCAATCACAAGTTCAAAGTTGTTGCCATCGATGCAGGGTATACCAAACCCTATGACACAGATGTTGTTGTCGTAGCACCAGGCCAAACCACCGATGTCCTCTTGAGAACCAACCAAAAGGAGGGATCTTATTACATGGCTGCATCTCCATACCACACCTTAAATGGAGTATTCGATAACACAACCACCAGAGGAGTTGTGGTTTATCATGGTGCATCATCAGCAACACCCAAAATGCCAATCCTACCTGCATTCAATGACACACCAACAGCCTTTAAATTCTATAGCAATATCACAGGGTTGGTTGGTGCCCCCCACTGGGTTCCTGTTCCATGCGATGTGGATGAACACATGTTCATCACCGTTGGAGTTAACCTAGATCATTGTAACCTTCCAGGTCCAAACAACACATGTGGTGGACCAAATGGATTGAGGTTTTCAGCAAGCATGAATAATGAATCCTTTGTGCTTCCTAGAGGTAGAGGATTCTCTATATTGGAAGCATTCTTCCGCAACAAAAATGGGGTGTACACCAAAGATTTTCCAAATAAGCCTCCAATTGTGTTTGACTATACCAACCCTGCTATTAACAATTTAAACCCTTCCCTCGCATTTGCACCTAAATCAACAAAGGTGAAGACATTGAAGTTCAATTCAACAGTGGAGATTGTGCTTCAGAATACAGCTATCCTTGCTGTGGAGAGCCATCCTATGCACATTCATGGCTTCAATTTCCATGTTTTGGCTCAAGGGTTTGGGAACTACAATTCCACTAGAGACAAACCAAAGTTCAACCTTGTTAATCCTCAAATGCGTAACACAATTGCTGTGCCAGTTGGAGGATGGGCTGTTATCAGATTCAAAGCAAATAATCCAGGTTAATTATTTTCAAATATTTAAACTATATTTATCTGTGTTGAAATTGGATTTCAAATCTTATAAATGTCAGATCTTATGGTTAATTAGAATTAGACAAATATAACATAAAAAATAATAATTAATGTAGTCTCACTGAATGATAAGTTTTTGTGATTTGAATTGATTCTTTACATGGTATCACATCCTATGTGACCAAGTAGTCACGAATTTCATATTCACCATCCCATTCTATTAAAAAATAAATAAATATTACAAAGTTTCTTAACACGAGTAAGTAAGCCCTATCCGTATTTCAAGTCAATTGGCTATTGCACAAGGTGTATGTTAGAGAAATATATTAAAAAATAAATTATTAATATAGCCTCACTTAATAATTTCAGATTTTGGATTGAATTAATTTTTTACCATTAATCTCATCTTTCCTTAAAATACTTTGCAGGTGTGTGGTTTATGCATTGTCATTTGGATGTTCATTTGCCATGGGGATTTGCCATGGCTTTTGAGGTTAAGAACGGACCTACTGCGTCATCAACGCTTCCCCCGCCACCAGCTGATTTTCCCAAGTGCTAAGTTCGGAATGGACCAAAACACTTACTTGTTAAACCTTATACTACATTTGAAAATATTAAAAATATAATCGTTACTGTTTATTCATGTACCGTTATGTAATGTGGATACCTATTCATTTTATCATTGGGGAAATAGATAGTATAATAAAGGGATAAATGTTAATTAGCGTGTTCTTTCAAATATGTTACTTGACAGTTGACATTCAGTTCGCTCAATGTTAACGTCGTTTGATTATTTTTGTGGATATATATGTTCTTTTCTTTCCAATATTATATTCTTGTATTTTTGCTTTTGGAGAAAGAGGCGTCAAAATTTCCTACACAGTGATTGGGTCTTAGTAAGCATATGCGAAATGGAGTGTGGGACACATGCTAAGCTCGCTACTGTACATTATATACGCAACCATGCCTTTAGTATAAGAGAGTATTTTTCTTTCCTACACATACATCGACTTTCGTGTTGTTTTTTTTTTTTTTTCTTTAAGTGAGTGAGTCTCACTCATAACTATCTCTATAACATAAGAGAGCTTCTCTTATGTTACATGAGATTAATAAAGCCCTTAATTTTATTAAAGCGAAAGTTTTATTTTTATTTATTCACTAGTTGATTAATCTGTTTTAAAAAAATAATTTAGAGAAAATACTTTTTTTGGTCCTCAGCAAATTTTACGATGTCCGCTTTAGTCCCTAGCAAATAAAAATGCCCGTTATAGTCCCTAAAAAATTCAAAATTGACCCATTTAGTTAAAATTGCGGTCCCTCACAAATTCAAAAAAGGCTCATACTAGTCCTCAAAATGACTAAGATGGGTCCATTTTGAATTTTTTAGAGACCACGATGGGCCTTTTTATTTGCTAGGGACTAAAGCGAACATAATGAAATTTGCTGAGGACTAAAAAGAGTATTTACTCAATAATTTATAAATTTAAATGCAGAAAAACTCTTCCTACTAAATTTTTTTAAAACTAAAGTTCTTGCCTCACTCTTTCCTTGCTGTTAAATTTAGCGTCTAGTTTACTTTAATGAATTCCCACCCAAGGGGTTGTTATATTTTATTGAATAACCTTACTTAATTATTTTCTCATTTAAATATTGTTTATCTAACATTATCTAATCTCAAAACTCTTACATGCGCTTAGAATCAATATTATAAAACTCAACAACGTAGCAAAGATGATTGTATGGTTGTCATCCTCAAATTATTTATGTATATAAAAATTGGAGTTTGATTTTCTGATGTTGCATGATAATAATTGAATTCTCATGTTGTGACTCAATTAGTGGTGGACCTCACGTTTATTAAATTTAAAAAGAAAAAAAAAAATTTGCACATAAATCGAAAGATCACAACATTAAGAAAATGTTTTTCCATAAAAATTTATACATAGCTATACTATAGCTAAAACCACACGTAATGTGGATTTATTTCTAAAATCATACTTTAAAAATATTTCATATTAAAACTAACAAATCACAATTATTTTTTAAAGAACCACACGGTTCCTCCCCTATGAGGTAATATAATATCTCTCTCAGTTTATGCCATCTGTGCAAAGAAAAAGTAAAAGTCCAAGGGACCAAGAAACGTTGTTTATTGAGGAGCAGGGGCAAGTGCTGCTTGCATGTCTTCTGACGCATCAGAAACAGGGCCAGGTGCAGCTCCAGAGCTCACAAGTTCCACCATAGCACGACGAGGATTGGTCCTTAGCTTTTCACAGAGGTCCGGTAAAAACACCCCTACATAGGAGAGAATTTATTGTAATCGGAATTACCATTTTTTAAGTAGTCTCTTAGTGTAAATGAAAGGATAAAATTAAAAAAAAAAATAACAGAAAAAAAAAAGAAAAAAAAATTAGTGTCATGAGAAGAAATATCAAATCATTGAACGATCTTGAAGTATATTAAATATTTCCCCTGCATAGCATCAAAGCAAGCTTCATTGCTGTTTTTGCAAATTGCAAGGAAACTAAAATAGTACAAAACAGAGTCCTATGCAAATAATCAAATATAAAATTTTCTCCTAAGAACCCCCTTTTATTTAATAAGAATGACTATATACCTTGATTAAATTTGAAGTTAAAGTACTTGAGGGTAAGGTATCTTGATGCTTTCATTGTGCAAAATGAAAGCGAGGTAGGGCAGCACATGAATAAGCTTTAACCTATATTTAAGGAAAGGCCATCAAATTTATTGGAGTAAATACTCTCTCTTTTTTCTGACAAAAAATATGGTCCTCATTTTAATCTCTTACAAAAAAAAATTAGTCTTGAGATTCTTAAGAAATTCAAAGTGAATTCACTTAGTTGAAATGACTAAAGTGAGGATCGTGTTCTTTGTTAGGGATCCAAAAGGGTATTTACTCAATTTCTTGTGACATGGCCTTAAAATATTTTTGCTTTTAAAGAAAGAGAAAAGTGTGTATCATTTTAAAAGATGTAAAGTTATGTCATTTTAAGTGAGACAAAGAGATAGATAAAGGAAGAATGAGAGTGGATAAAAAATATAAAGATGTGGGTCTCATCTCTTTGTGAGAGTAAAATGACACAAATTGTATCATTTAAAAGGACAAACATTTTTTCCTTAAAAAAAATACACTCACATAAAAAATGAATGAGTTTCAATAATTTTTTCTTTATTTCTTCTTTATAATGGGATCTGTTTATTTTTATCCTTATGTGGCAGAACAAAATTATTTGCAGTAAACACATAAATATTAAACCCTGTTTTATAAACAAAATACAAGCAAGAAAGAGGGAAACAAATTAAACAAAAAAAAAAAAAAAAAAAAAAACAAGTAAACATCGTTAGTGCTTAGAAATTTGGGAGAATGACCAATTCCTGTTAGTTGAACCTAAAATCTTGGAGAAGTTCTACAAATTAAGGTGACAACATTGAGTTTTCAACTGTTAATCACAAATCCTTTCCTTTCCCTTTCTACAGAATAAAATGACCATGAATAATACTACATCTAATAGGAAGGAAGATTCAGCAAGGAAAGCCAACAATTACCCCACGTATTAACTATGATCGTGAATAAAAGTTTTGGAACCAAATGAAACTATTGTTTTGAGTGTTTAACATAATTTTCTTTTGCTTTTTTATACCAACCTAATTACTTTTTTGAAGTGAGTCAGCTTCGGATATTCACACAAGTTTTAACTTTTTGAGTTGACAATAATTAAGATTAATCCTGAGTCCGTGTTTAGTCACAATAAAATTTTTCGCTCTTCCCTATGGATAATTTAATATAATTTTAAGTATGTGGAAACTGAACATTAATGTAAAACGGTAGCAATGAACAATTCTTACCCTCCCCAGCAGCCAAATTGAAGTAAAGGTCCACAATGTTGTGGCACTTATGGTAACAAGGTGGGGAACAAAGTTTGGCAGTGAATTGTGGCTCAAGGAATGCATCAGAAGAAATGCCAACAAACTTCCTTTCAACCCCACATGAGTCCACACATTGGTCTGTCTCTATGTATTCTGCCATGCTCTCCACCACCACTTCTGATGTCCTGCACTGGTATTCCACGCCGCCCTCCGCCGTGGTTGCCGTCTCCAACAAACACCGCTTCCCTGAAGAAGCTATGGAGAAAGCACATACATCCTTTGGCAACTCCTCACATACAACTTCAGCTGCCAATTCAGAATACACATATCATGTTAGAATGAAAGAAAACAATTGCATTAGATATGGAAAAATATATAGTAGGATTTACATTGTATACATACCCAAGGATGCATGGATAAAAAGGGAACTAAAGAACAGAACCAATGGCAATTTGGATGAGAAAGACATGGTTTTAATATAAATGATGGCTATAATATCGTTAGTGAAGGAGGAGTGTAACAAAAAGAAATTTTTGGGATGGATTGACAAAACAGAAATTGTTCTGTGAGAGGGAGTTAAAAGGGTTTGTGTAAGTATGGAAGAGATGTGAACAACGACATGGAAATGGCACCAAAGGTCTCTATATATAGGTTGGAAGTTGTAACAACTCTCTGTATCTCATACAAATAAGAATTGAATACACAACTTAATACAATTTACCTAAATTCCTCCTTATTAGATCAATCTAGTGACTTCAAAGTTGTGTGTCTTTAGTTGAAGCTTGAGGATGGCTCACAAGATGCCTTGTGTCTACTCCATTCCCTTTTATATTATTTAAATCTAAAAATTCAAATCATTCTTGTTAGCTTTAATCATAAGTATAATTTTTAAATTTAATTAATCTACTTAAAATTGCTAGAGGTTTTTTAAAACACACACTAACTAACTAACTCTCTCTCTCTCTCTCTCTCTCTCTCTCTCTCTATATATATATATATATATATATATAGAGAGGCAGGATCCTTTGACACTGGTGTCAAATTTTAAATTTGACACCTCATATGAGAGCCGTTAGATCAAAAAAGATCAATGACTCTGATTTGTAAGCATGTGACACCATTGATCTTTTTTGTTCCAACGGCTCTCAGATGAGGTGTCAAATTTCAAATTTGACACCAGTGTCAAAGGATCCTATCATATATATATATATATATATATATATATATATATATATATATATATATATATATATATATATTATTGGCAAGTCTGTTAAATTAATTAAAATTTCCAGAAATCATATGTGTGAAATATATATTTTCAATATTTTATAAGAATTTATATTTTAACCTTTGTGAAATATACACAGATAATTTGGTTTTTAATTCTTGTTGAACTTTATTGCGTTGATTATTGAAGAAATGTGTAAACTGAATTTTCCAACAAATTTTGGGAGAGAAGTCAAGCAAGCCTTGTATTTTAGCAATTTGCACTCGAAAAGCTATTTGTTGAGTGCAAATTATTTTAAATTTATTCAATAAAAAAAACTCGAAAAGCTAAAATCATTATACTTCTATGTCTCGCCTTTTTTATTTTTTTGGGGGTATGGCACCTTCCATTGAGGAGGCCTAGCAGAGCGGTCCTATTTGTGGGTCTTAATTAAGAGAGGTGATAGACAGGGAAAAGGAAGTTGAAATCAAATGAATTTTTCAAAATTAAATTCCAATACTTTCATTGCTTGCTTCCTGAAGTCTTTTTTTCCATCTTTTCTTATAAAAAGGTAAAAGTTTAATTTTTGTGGGGTTGCACTTGCCCGTTATATAATAATTCTCAACCTGCCATTGACGGAAGAAAGCTTGAATTTGAAATGGATAGAACTAATAAAATATTGAAATATAAAAGAAATAGTGTTTAATTTTGATTATTAAAATTACGCTTTCAATTAGTCATTTTTATTATATTATTAAGAAAGTATGATTATAATATATGACGTTAAACTTTAATAGTATGCAAGTACTTTAAACTCAAAGAAACATAAATCAATTTTGCCCAAAAAAGTAATTAGAATGATATTATAAGTTGTGAAGTAGTTATTTTATAACAAATATGGCTACTCTTTTTATATATGTAAGTTGAACTTAAAAAGTGAAATAGTGAGATAATTTTTGTTTAAATTTCTTCCAAAAATGATACTGGGGAGGATCAAACATATATTTTTACTCTCACCTGCTCTTCAACTCTCATGCGCCAACTGAACTATCATAGTTTGCTACTAATTTATCAACTATGTCAACCCTTGAAGTTAGTGAAACATTTTTTCGAACCATAGGCAAAGTCGATAGGAGAACATCAAGTTACAATTTGTAAATAAGCTTGGGATACACCACCTCAAAAGCTAGCTCAAAGGGTAGGAGTGCCCAAGGCCTTATAAACTCCACATTAGTTGCTCATACAATCAATGTTGGACTATATATCTCAACACGCCCCCTCACACGAGAGCCCATTGGGTTTGAAGCGTGGATTATGCACAGGCCCAATTTTGGTTTACCTTTTTGTACTTTTTATTTTAATTCCACTTTAAAGTGGGGGCGGTGAGAATCGAACTTGTGACCTTGTAGTCACTCAAGCTCTCTGATAACATGTAAAGAACCTTGGGATACACCACCCCAAAAGCTAGCTCAAAGGGTGGGAGTGCCCAAGGCCTTATAAACTCCACATTAGTTGTCCATACAACCAATGTGGGACTATATATCTCAGCACAATCTTATATTATAAAGGAATTCCATTTTGTGGAAACCTTGCTGACGTGTCGCACCGTGGTTCAATTTCACTATTGTGTTCACACTACAAATTTTAAAAAAGTTTCCTTTAATGGTAAATCGGTGAATATAATAAATACAAAAAAGAATTATATTTTCAATGGACAGGATTTGTTACTTTAAATCAATGGTCAAGATTGCTTATTCGTTTGTGTTTATTAATGTATTCGTTTGTTCTTTTTAAGTAGGTTCTAATCGTTTTTTTTAATATTTAATCAGTTTAAAAAAAAATTAATTAGTAAAAAAAAACACTCATACATTTCCTGACCTTTGTTCCTTATTTTCAGATTTTTAAATTTGAATCTTTTATTAACCTCTTGATTCAGTGGAATCAGGCATGAGTGTTTTGTTATTAGAAAAAACTTCTTTTTTATTCCATGAAAATCTCATTTATAACTACTAAATCACTCTTTTGTCGTCATCTTTGTTTTTTAAATAATTGATGTTGATCATGTAATCTAATCGTTTTTTTTAACCTTTATTCAGTTTAATTCAAATCTTTACGTTTTTTGAAGAAAAAAAACGGGATATTCATTGTTATTAAAACAAATGACTGTTTTATTCCATGAAATGACTGTTAAAAAAACGGGATATTCATTGATTTATAACTACTAAATCACTCTTTGTCGTTATCTTTGTTTTTTACATCTTTATTCAGTTTAATTCAAAAACTTCACATTTTTTAAAGAATACAATTCTATTTACTCGAAAAAAAATTAATTAGTAAAAAAAAAATTATACATATCCCGACCTTTGTTCCTTATTTTCAGATTTTTAAAATTTGAATCTTTTATTAACCTCTTGATTCAGTGGAATCAGGTATGAGTGTTTTGTTATTAGAAAAAACTTCTGTTTTATTCCATGAAAATCTCATTTATAACTACTAAATCACTCTTTTGTCGTCATCTTTGTTTTTTAAATAATTGATGTTGATCATGTAATCTAATCATTTTTTTTAACCTTTATTCAGTTTAATTCAAATCTTTACATTTTTTGAAAAAAAAATATGGGATATTCATTGTTATTAAAACAAATGAATGTTTTATTCCATGAAATGACTGTTAAAAAAATGGGATATTCATTGATTTATAACTTCTAAATCACTCTTTGTCGTTATCTTTGTTTTTGAATCTGTATTCAGTTTAATTCAAAAACTTCACATTTTTTAAAGAATACAATTCTATTTACTCGAAAAAAAATTAATTAGTAAAAAAAAAAAATTATACATATCCCGACCTTTGTTCCTTATTTTCATATTTTTAAATTTGAATCTTTTAAAAAGTGGATATTCATTGTTATTAAAACAAATGACTGTTTTATTCCATGAAAATCTCATTTATAACTACTGAATCACTCTTTTGTCGTTATCTTTGTTTTTTAAATCTTTATTCAGTTTAATTCAAAAACTTCACATTTTTTAAAGAAGACAATTCAAAAACTATAAATCACTCTCATTTATACAATTCCTGATACGCATTATTCTTCAACGTCGGTGATTGCTTCTCTGTTTTTTCTTCTTACACAAAATATGAGTTCAAAATATGATTTTCTGAAGGATGTTAATCCTGCCAAGGAGGACTGGAGGATTAAGGTGAAGGTGGTTCGGACTTGGAAAGTTCCTAACTTTCAGCGTAAAAATTTGGAGGACAATCTTGAAATGGTTTTATTGGATGAACAGGTTGTGTTCTGTGTTTTAAAAATCTTCCATCTTTGTTTTGATCATTTTAGTTAACGTTGTTGACATAAGTTGGCTCCATTCTTTTGTAGGGTGGTAGGATCCACGCCACTGTCAAAGGTACCTTGCAGGTGCGGAATAAAATCAACGAAGGAGAGTGCTATTTTATAAAAAAAATTGGAGTTGGATTCAATAGCGATGTGTTTAGGCCAACCAAGCATCAGTATCGTTTGTCTTTCAACTTGAGGACTGATGTTAAATCGATTGTTGTTTCTGATATTTGTGCGAGTGATTTTGATTTTGTTGATTATAACATCATTGAGAAAGAAACGTCTGACTCCCCTTATTTAGTCGGTAATAGATTCTTCCTCACTGTTATCCTTTTTTTAATTATTGCGGGTTTTATTTTTTTCCCATACTCTTTGCTGCCTTTTTTTAATTTTTAAACGTCATTGGTTTATTCTGTATCATGACTATCTCCTTATTTTTAAACTCTTTGCGGTTATAGTTTTGTGTTTTTAATGTTTTGTCACGAGTAATCTTATTCTGTATCATTATTTTTTTCATTAACTGTGTTTTTTATGTTTCTGTATTCGTTTTTTATTATTGCATAATTTTTTTCACAAACTCTTTGCTGCGTTTTTTTTTGTAGACGTCATTGGTTTAATCTCAGGAATTGGGAAAGTTTGTGATCGTGTGGTTTCTGGTAGGAAGACAAAAATGGTGGTGTTGGAGCTTGACGACCTGAGGTACTTACAAATGTTTAGTTAAATGAATTATTTTTGTCCAGCTCTGTTAGCTTATATTTTACGCGTATTAACGTTGTGCTTGCTGCAACTCACGTGTAGGGGTCATAAGTTGGAGTGCACTTTGTGGGAGCATTATGTGGATGAGGTCCAATCTTTTTTGGCAGACAACGACGATCCTCATAACGTCCTGATAGTCCAACTGGGAAGGATTAAGTGTTTTAGAGGTATGTTTTTTCCAAACAACGTTGTTTTAATTTTTGCTTTTATAATCAGTTTTTATGCACGTTATTTTAATTAATTTTGCTTCTGTATTCAATGTTTATCTGAACCTTTTAACTCAATAGGTAAGGTCGGGATAACAAATACAAAATATACAACAAGGATTGTAATGGATTCAAAACTGAATGAGATTGTTGAGTTCAAAAAATGGTGTGTACCTTCTTTCTTTAGCTCATTTATTCGGTTATTGATTAATGGATTTTCATATTTTTTTGATTTTTTAATTATTAATTTTTGCGTTATAGTCTCTCGATTGATGGTGTGGAAAGTAGTACAAGGATGACTCAATTGTCTACTCAGTCATCCTATTCTTTCGAAAATGATTTTCTTAAGGAGACTGAAAAAAAGTCTATCAGTGATGTGAAACTTTGTGTTGAGGTAAATGTTCAAATTTTATTTTTACTTTTCTTTAATTTTTACTTTCCTTTAATTCTGTCAATTTTGTATTGATGATATTTTATGTTAAACTGCGATTGCTTTAATTAAGGTAACTACCTGCATCACATACGGGACTATAAAGGCAATTGAGAGCAAATACAACTGGTGGTACAAGTCATGCAAAAAGTGTCCATTTTCCGTTTATGAGGATTTTGAGAAGTGGTATTGTAAGAACTGCCAAAAACATTGGGAAGATTATTATCCGAGGTAAAATATTCTTCTTAGTTTATAACCTGTCTTTAATCCGTATCATTCATGTACGTTGCTGATATACAATTTCGCAAAACTCCAGATTTAGTGTTCAGGTCAGAGTTGTGGATAACACAGATTCCGCATCCTTTATTCTGTTTGATCGCGACTGTGTGTCTTTGTTGGGAATGAGTGCTGCTGAATTGCGCGAGCTGCATTTCAAGAGGGTTTGTTTTTTAATTGCTGTGTTATGGTTAAAATGTATTTTTTGTCGTTTTGTGCTCTCTGTTTGCGCTGTCTATGTTCTGTTCTTTTTTTTTTAGAATAATTTTTTTTCCCTTTTCATTTTTTTTAGGGTGCCGATTTGGATCAATTTCCAAATGAGTTAAATGTTCTGAATGAAAAGTCAATGTTGTTCAAGATAAATGTTAAGCAAAAGGATTTGAACACAAATAGTGAGCCCAAATATCAAGTTTCCAAAATTTGTATCAGCGAAGACATAATCTCAGCGTTCATTAAGTCTCTTATAGATCCAAATGTATGCTGCTTATATATTTCTTTTAGATAACTATTTTTCTTATACATTATATTTACTGTTGTTGGTTGTTGTCTATCACAGGATGAAGCAAATTTCGATAATGCACGCGAAAATGAAGTTGTTTCGTCGGAACTGGAAAAGGCTGCGGTGAGCTATGAATTCGATTTAGATTCATGTTATTAAAAATATATAAATACATATTTGACATACCTTTTTTATATGAAAAAAAAAAAACACAGGATGTTGAAAGTCAGACCTGTGACAGTGCTGACGTTAGTGATGTCTCTCTGACGATGTTGACACCTGTGCTCACTTCTCATGATTCCATTGCTGGAGAATTTAAATTTTCAGCTGTTCGGCCGACAAAGAAAATAAAGCTTGAAAAGGAGTTACGTACTGTGGTTCTTATATTTTTATTTAAAATTCATTTGTGTTTATATGTATTTTTTCTTACGCGAAGTGAAAACAGTGATAATTTATTTTTTCTTTATTTTTTTAAATAGATTTGATGCAGAGGCAGATGAGAGTACGCTGTAGATTGGGCTGCTGTGACTGAAGAGTGTTATTTTGCGTCTTGGGACATGATGTTTATTTGACAAACTCTTGCATAGACATTTTTTTTGTTGGAGTTACATCTTTAAGTGTTTGCATCTTTTTTAACTTACGTTTATTAAATGTCCAAGTTTGTGATGTTTTGCTATGTTGAGTACAACAAAAACAAAATGTTACGTGGTGTTTATTAATGTATTCGTTTGCGCTTTTCTTTTTAAGAAAAAAAATAATTCATTGTTTGTGTAAGGGATATAATTCACTCTTTTATTTTTATTAACGTTAATAACTGGAATTCAAGTATTTCTTTTGTTTTCCAAACAAACACAATATCCGTACTCATCTTAACATCACAAGCTACAAATTTTAACTTTAATTATATTAACCTTATTAACTTCAATTTCCTTTGTTTACATCTCTGTTTATTTTTTAACTGAACCGAATGTAAGTAGGTTCTAATCGTTTTGTTTTTTTAATCTTTAATCAGTTTAATTCAAAAAACTTTACATTTTTTAAAGAATACAATTCTATTTGCTCGAAAAAAAATTAATTAGTAAAAAAAAATTATACATATCCCGACCTTTGTTCCTTATTTTCAAATTTTTAAATTTGAATCTTTTATTAACCTCTTGATTCAGTTGAATCAGGTATGAGTGTTTTGTTATTAGAAAAAATGACTGTTTTATTCCATGAAAATCTCATTTATAACTACTGAATCACTCTTTTGTCGTCATCTTTGTTTTTTAAATCTTTATTCAGTTTAATTCAAAAACTTTACATTTTTTAAAGAAGACAATTCTATTTACTCGAAAAAATAATAATTAGTAAACAAAAAACACTCATACATATCCCGACCTTTGTTCCTTATTTTCAGTTTTTTAAATTTGAATCTTTTATTAACCTCTTGATTCAGTGGAATGAGGTATGAGTGTTTTGTTATTAAAACAAATGACTGTTTTATTCCATGAAAATCTCATTTATAACTACTAAATCACTCTTTTGTCGTCATCTTTGTTTTTTAAATCAATGGTCAAGATTGCTTATTCGTTTGTGTTTATTAATGTATTCGTTTGTTCTTTTTAAGTAGGTTCTAATCGTTTTGTTTTTTTAATCTTTAATCAGTTTAATTCAAAAACTTTACATTTTTTAAAGAATACAATTCTATTTACTCGAAAAAAAAATTAATTAGTAAAAAAAAAAACACTCATACATATCCCGACCTTTGTTCCTTATTTTCAGATTTTTAAATTTGAATCTTTTATTAACCTCTTGATTCAGTGGAATCAGGTATGAGTGTTTTGTTATTAGAAAAAATTTCTGTTTTATTCCATGAAAATCTCATTTATAACTACTAAATCACTCTTTTGTCGTCATCTTTGTTTTTTAAATAATTGATGTTGATCATGTAATCTAATCGTTTTTTTTAACCTTTATTCAGTTTAATTCAAATCTTTACGTTTTTTGAAAAAAAAACGGGATATTCATTGTTATTAAAACAAATGACTGTTTTATTCCATGAAATGACTGTTAAAAAAACGGGATATTCATTGATTTATAACTACTAAATCACTCTTTGTCGTTATCTTTGTTTTTTAAATCTTTATTCAGTTTAATTCAAAAACTTCACATTTTTTAAAGAATACAATTCTATTTACTCGAAAAAAAATTAATTAGTAAAAAAAAATAATAATTATACATATCCCGACCTTTGTTCCTTATTTTCAGATTTTTAAATTTGAATCTTTTATTAACCTCTTGATTCAGTGGAATCAGGTATGAGTGTTTTGTTATTAGAAAAAACTTCTGTTTTATTCCATGAAAATCTCATTTATAACTACTAAATCACTCTTTTGTCGTCATCTTTGTTTTTATAATAATTGATGTTGATCATGTAATCTAATCGTTTTTTTTAACCTTTATTCAGTTTAATTCAAATCTTTACGTTTTTTGAAAAAAAAAATGGGATATTCATTGTTATTAAAACAAATGACTGTTTTATTCCATGAAATGACTGTTAAAAAAACGGGATATTCATTGATTTATAACTACTAAATCACTCTTTGTCGTTATCTTTGTTTTTTAAATCTTTATTCAGTTTAATTCAAAAACTTCACATTTTTTAAAGAATACAATTCTATTTACTCGAAAAAAAATTAATTAGTAAAAAAAAAAAATTATACATATCCCGACCTTTGTTCCTTATTTTCAGATTTTTAAATTTGAATCTTTTATTAACCTCTTGATTCAGTGGAATCAGGTATGAGTGTTTTGTTATTAGAAAAAATTTCTGTTTTATTCCATGAAAATCTCATTTATAACTACTAAATCACTCTTTTGTCGTCATCTTTGTTTTTTAAATAATTGATGTTGATCATGTAATCTAATCGTTTTTTTTAACCTTTATTCAGTTTAATTCAAATCTTTACGTTTTTTGAAAAAAAAACGGGATATTCATTGTTATTAAAACAAATGACTGTTTTATTCCATGAAATGACTGTTAAAAAAACGGGATATTCATTGATTTATAACTACTAAATCACTCTTTGTCGTTATCTTTGTTTTTTAAATCTTTATTCAGTTTAATTCAAAAACTTCACATTTTTTAAAGAATACAATTCTATTTACTCGAAAAAAAAATTAATTAGTAAAAAAAAAAAAATTATACATATCCCGACCTTTGTTCCTTATTTTCAGATTTTTAAATTTGAATCTTTTATTAACCTCTTGATTCAGTGGAATCAGGTATGAGTGTTTTATTCCATGAAAATCTCATTTATAACTACTCAATCACTCTTTTGTCGTCATCTTTGTTTTTATAATAATTGATGTTGATCATGTAATCTAATCGTTTTTTTATCCTTTATTCAGTTTAATTCAAATCTTTACGTTTTTTGAAAAAAAAAACGGGATATTCATTGTTATTAAAACAAATGAATGTTTTATTCCATGAAATGACTGTTAAAAAACGGGATATTCATTGATTTATAACTACTCAATCACTCTTTGTCGTTATCTTTGTTTTTTAAATCTTTATTCAGTTTAATTCAAAAACTTCACATTTTTTAAAGAATACAATTCTATTTACTCGAAAAAAAATTAATTAGTAAAAAAAAAAATTATACATATCCCGACCTTTGTTCCTTATTTTCATATTTTTAAATTTGAATCTTTTATTAACCTCTTGATTCAGTGGAATCAGGTATGAGTGTTTTGTTATTAAAACAAATGACTGTTTTATTCCATGAAAATCTCATTTATAACTACTGAATCACTCTTTTGTCGTTATCTTTGTTTTTTAAATCTTTATTCAGTTTAATTCAAAAACTTCACATTTTTATAACTACTGAATCCCAACGCATTTCTGGCATTTCTTTTCCTGAACGTATCGAGCTAAAAAACTGCATTTCTTGCAGTAAGGTATCGAGCTAAAAAACCAAAAAACCATATCATTTGAAGCCCAAACTGCTACGGAGACAATATCAAAATGAGCAAATGCAAATCAGAATTCCATACTCCTTCAAGGAAAAGAAGAAACAGAGGTCTGAGTGAATAATCTTGGTTGACTGCAACAGACAATCAATTCTCATTTTCACAACTAAATAATTTTACTCATTGCTGTGTAGAACAACTTTTGGGGTTTTCTCCCTCTACCGATGGCAGGTAATTTCATTTCGTCATTTATGTCATTCATGGTTTGTTGATTTTTTAAATTTAACTGCGGAACTTCTTTAGTGGATTTTGTTATTGCCCCATATTTAAAACATGTAGACTTTCAAAGGTGAGCAATATTTAGAATGATATAAGCTCCAACAGACAACGACTGCATAATATTAAAAACGGTTTGTTACTCTTTTATACCAATTTGACAGCTTTAGCAACGTTATACTATTGGAAGCTTGATTTATTATTTTTTCGATTTTGTATTGTTCTAAGTTGGTACTGCGCATAGCATGCCACGTGGTTGTGATTATAATAAAATAATATCTAATTCCTACCAGCCAAACATTGTGGAATCGTTTCCTTTGAATGATGCGTGCGAAGGCTTTCCTCAATGAACTTCGATTATTTGTGTTCTTATCTAATTGACTTTTTCAATTTTTCTGTAGAAAATCTTACTCCATTTTCTGACTCCACCAGTGCCATGTAAGATTATTGCTTCGGTTATCTCATTCAACAATGACTAACAATCCTTGATTTATTAATCTTTTTTAAACATACAGCATTTCTCAAATGACCAGTAAACGGAATGAGTTTAGCTGCAACAGGTGCTCTCTTGATGATATAACTAACAGTAGGTGAAAAGAAATTAACTTCAATGTCTATTTATTTTTTTTGTACACTATTTTCTTTTGTAAATACATTCTCATATTCTAATGGTTGTACATCAACATATGAGTTTTATTATTATATCAGCACTAGCTTGCGATTTGATTTCCTTCTCTTATTCAACTGATAACTTTATTTAGATCACTATCCTTAGGAAAGTTGGCATTATAATGTTGGCACCTCATTTACTTTTTTGGTATTGTGTAGAAAATCTATCTCCATTGACTCCCTCATGCGTTAGCAGGTAATTGACATCTGCTGTTTGATTGTTTAAATTTCATATATAGCAGTTTTTTTAACTGCTTCATATGTTGTATAATATTTTTTTCCAACTAATCAGTATTTACGCAAACACAAACCATTCGATATCCAATATTTCTTCCTCAATTGCTAGAGACTGTCTTCATTCTCATCCCACACAAGGTAATCTTTTCAATAAGCTACCATTTTCTACAACACACGTTATTTTAATTTTGTGAAATAAAATGTAAAATTTATATTGGCTGCCGTTAAGTTTTTATTTTATTTTATTTTTTCTTAGAAAGCAAGAAATGCTAGATCAAGGCGGAAAGGTATCATGTTCCAAAAGAAGACTTCTAAGCAATATGTCAAGATAAACAATATACCAACGATGCTTGACTTGACAGGTAATTCGTCTTTGATTGATTTTACTACAACCATGATTTATAAGAGGATAATATATGTAATGTATTAACTATTTTTTCACTTACCATTATTTATTCCGCATTGGACTTTTTCATATAGGGATTGATGTGAACAGTGAGAATTCAGTGCTTTCAACCGTTACTGCGTTCAGTGATGAAAACTATATATCACGGTATCATTATACCTGTGAATACTTTTTTGGGAACACTATGTTGTAATTAAATATTTTTACATGCACATCCTTCATTGACGTCATATAAATTCATTAAAGCCTTTTTTTTTTATCAGTGACATACAATGTAGTTCCCCATATGATAACGGTACAAGTACGACTTCAGCTGATTTGGATCAGCAAAGTGAGTTTAAAAACCTGTCTCTGTTTGTATTGGATTTTTAAAATGCAAGCACGAATGCTTCTATACGAATGGTAACTGGAAAAAAATAATAGTAAATTAATTATTTTGAGCGTTGTTTATTCTCTAAATTTATTATTTCCAATTTTCTATTGTTTAATTACAAATTAAATGTCTGAATGATAAATGTTATACTCACTGATTTTTTACATAGCATATTCAAGAACAGTTGTTTACGACTTATACTGGTGCGCATTTGCTTAATTAAATGCGCTGAGAATAAATTTATTTATATTAGAATGTCTTTATTATTTTTGTTACCTCTTGCTTTGTGTTACAGATACTGATAACAATGAATAAGAGAACATGATGGGCTCTCTTTCTATCGATTTTAAATTTTCAGATATTAAATCACAACTCTTTGTTCGTGATGGGCTCTCTTTTTAGTTTTTTTATTACGTTTTCCTGTTGTGTTATATATATGGATATGGATGATTCCAAGGTGCCATTTTTTTCTATTCTTTTTAATTTTTTTTCCGGGCCACCAACATATTTTTATAATTAAATTAAAATTTTACTATTCTTTTTTTATAATTAAAATTTCACTATTCTTTTTTCCCCGTGCATCGCACGAGTTATACTTAACTTTGAAGGAGTTTTTTAAGTAGAGTGTTGGTTTTGAATATTATTCAATAAAACTTAACGTTCGTAATTAAAAATCCATGTTATTTAAGGTCAACGTAAAAAAAACAATTTTGAGTCATATAATGAGCCAAAATATCATGTTTCAAGTGTTTGAAGCAGCGAAGCTATTGTCACCTCATTCTTTAAGTCTTTGGTGGACCCGAATGTATGTTGTTGTTTTTTAAAAATTTATCATCGCGGGTTCTTTATATTGTTACAAGTTTTTAGCATGTATATTGATTTGATGCTGTTTAGACACATTTGTTCTAGTGTAAGCAAAATTTTTTACTCATACATGACCATTTGATTAATTTGCTTTCAAATCCCTTTCAAACAACGTTTTTTGGGTTCTAAAAAAAAATAACCCATTTTTTTTTCTAAGACTATTAATTAGCGTAATTTATTTAATGAGCATTTGCATTTTGTATCGTAGGCATAAATATGATGGTAGAAGAGGACGTTCCTGGTAATGCATAAACATAGAAAATCACATGTTTGGTATGTGTTGAACTCATCCCTCCAATGATTGCTACAGAATGATACTGAATTAATAGCGTTTTCTTATTATAGGTACATGCTGATCTTTTTATTCCATATTTGCTTAGTCTGTTTGTTACCTTGATTTTATTAGTGGCTGTTATAGTTAGCAATAAGTTGTATGCATTTTTTTCTCTTTTTAGCCATCCTCATTTTAACATAGTCAACTATGGCGTATTTTTTTTTTCATAACTCATCGAGCAGATAACTATATTTATTTGCATAATATTGATCACTCTGGATAACAGATTTTTGTTTATGATTGTTATTTGTAAAATTCTGTGTCAATGCTGTAGTTTTTTCCATCTGAAATATAAAACAAGATAGCAACACAGATTTTTGTAAGTATAAGGTTTGCAGTGCGATTAACCAACCACGGCGGACGACAAATATTTTGTTCTTTTTTCCCCGGGCATCGCACGGGTAATTTACTAGTATCACATAAAACAAAAACACCAAGGTTTTCAAGATCAATTGCAAAAAATTTAAAACGAAATTTTATCATTAACTTTAGATTCAATATGCAAATTTTAAATTATTTTAATAAATAAAATTTTTTTGGGTCTTATAACAATATATGTATAGCTCTTATACTAAATGAAAAAGATAATTTTTAACTCATTGGTCAAAACCAAGAGCAGAAACAAGAGGATGATAATGCGTGGAGGGGCGTATAGATATATGGAGATATGCAGCTTTGTAAGACATCAAATTACTGATTGAAAAAATTATATTAGGTCTTACTTGTTTTTTAATATCATTACATTTCTTTGTTATTTTTTATTGACTCTTTTTTGAATATTCGTTAAAAATTCACTTGATTTTTTAAAATCTTATAAATTCATATTATCCTTTCAAATTTTATTAAAATCATTTAAAATTCAATCTTATAAAATCTTGATTGTAAAAAAAGTTTTTAAAACCACTACAATTCTATATAAGTCTTTTAAAATCTATAAAAAATTTAATCTCAATAATTTTTTAAAATTCTAATCCAATACACCCGTGAGTTATACTTATTAATTTGGGTTTTTTTACCCTTTTACCCTTCATTAATTAATAACTATTTTGCCCCTTATTCGAAACTATCTACCAATATGCCCTTCTTTAATCGATTAACTTGAAGTTTAATCGATTAAATGGTCAAAACTGGCAAAAATAGTTGACTTGAAGATTTAATCGATTAAATCTTCAAGTTAATCGATTAAATCTCCCAACAAGCAATAAAGGTCAAATTCCCTCTATAAATATGAAGCAAATTAGCAAGTTAATAAGAGTTGATTACGATTTGTATTTAATAGGAGCTGATTGTGTTTTGTATTTAATAGAAGCTGATTGCATTTTGTATTTAATAGGAGTTGATTGTGTTTTGTCTTTAATAGGAGCTGATTGCGTTTTATTAGGAGTTGTCATTTAACGAGTTGGTTACAGATTGTCACCAATTCAAATCTACTTGTAATTTGTAATTTTGAGTCTATTTATGCGCAAATTATAAATTACAAATAAATTTGAATTAGTGACAATTTGTAACCAACTCGTAAAATGGCAATTCCTAATAAAACGCAATCAACTCCTATTAAATACAAAACACACTCAAATCCTATTAAATACAAAACGCAATCAGCTCCTATTAAATACAAAACGCAATCAATGCTTTCACGCTCATTTGGTATATTTACTCATTTCATTGAAATGTTGCCCATAAATAGGCTCACAATTACAAATTACAAATAAATTTGAATTGGTGACAATCTGTAACCAACTCGTAAAATGGCAACTCCTAATAAAACGCAATCAGCTTCTATTAAATACAAAATACATTCAACTCCTATTAAATACAAAATGCAATCAGCTCCTATTAAATACAAAACACAATCAATCAATATTTTCACGCTCATTTGGTATATTTAATCGATTAAATATACCAAATTTTATAAATTTTATTAAAATCCTTTGAAATTCAATCTTATAAAATCTTGATTGTAAAAAAAGTTTTTAAAACCACTACAATTCTATATAAGTCTTTTAAAATCTATAAAAAATTTAATGTCAATAATTTTTTAAAATCCTAATCCAATACACCCGTGAGTTATACTTATTAATTTGGGTTTTTTTTACCCTTTTACCCTTCATTAATTAATTAATAACTATTTTGCCCCTTATTCGAAACTATCTACCAATATGCCCTTCTTTAATCGATTAACTTGAAGTTTAATCGATTAAATGGTCAAAACTGGCAAAAATAGTTGACTTGAAGATTTAATCGATTAAATCTTCAAGTTAATCGATTAAATCTCCCAACAAGCAATAAAGGTCAAATCTCCTCCATAAATATGAAGCAAATTAGCAAGTTAATAAGAGTTGAGTGCGATTTGTATTTAATAGGAGCTGATTGCGTTTTGTATTTAATAGAAGCTGATTGCGTTTTGTATTTAATAGGAGTTGATTGTGTTTTGTATTTAATAGGAGCTGATTGCGTTTTATTAGGAGTTGTCATTTTACGAGTTGGTTACAGAGTGTCACCAATTCAAATCTATTTGTAATTTGTAATTTTGAGTCTATTTATGCGCAAATTATAAATTACAAATAAATTTGAATTGGTGACAATTTGTAACCAACTCGTAAAATGGCAATTCCTAATAAAACGCAATCAACTCCTATTAAATACAAAACACACTCAAATCCTATTAAATACAAAACGCAATCAGCTCCTATTAAATACAAAACACAATCAATGCTTTCACGCTCATTTGGTATATTTACTCATTTCATTGAAATGTTGCCCATAAATAGGCTCACAATTACAAATTACAAATAAATTTGAATTTGTGACAATCTGTAACCTATTCATAAAATGACAACTCCTAATAAAACGCAATCAGCTTCTATTAAATACAAAATACATTCAACTCATATTAAATACAAAATGCAATCAGCTCCTATTAAATACAAAACGCAATCAATCAATATTTTCACGCTCATTTGGTATATTTAATCGATTAAATATAAGTTTCAATCTATTAAATCAATTAAGAGGGAGATTTAATCGATTAAGAAGGATATTTAATCGATTAAATCTTTAAGTCAACTATTTTTGTTAGTTTTGATCATTTAATCTTAAATCTTCAAGTTAATCGATTAAAAAGGGACAGATTGATAAATAGTTTCGGATAAGAGGCAAAATAATTATTAATTAATTAATGAAGAACAAAATGGTCAAAAAGCCTATTAATTTGTTCAATGCTTTTTAGATTCACCTTTTGTTCGATGGTTTTTAACTTGTTTATTTTTCCTTCTTCCCTTTGGTCATAGATAGTTTTTAAGCCTGATTGTTGTTGCCGGTATATTTGGAAATATGGGAAAGGACGAAGACAAGAATGCCACAACCCACGCAGTGTCCAGGATTGTTAGCCTTCACGCTGCCTTAAAATGTGTGTAGTTATATAGCATGTTGATTTTTTAGTTTAAAATTCTTTTTTTTTGGAAGTTTTAGTTTAAAATTCTTAATCTGTGTGAAATTATTTTATTTTATTATTTTTAGGGTTCGCTTTTTCTACTGTCAATGTAAATAACTTATTTACATTGAGTTCAAAACGCCGTCGTTTAGAAATCAAAGTATTTTTGTAATTATAATTTATTTCAGGATTATAATAGTCTTTTTGTTTATAATTTTTTAATTTTTCAACTCAAAATGACGTCGTTTTGAGAACGAATATGTAGAAACATTAAAGCCTTATTTTTATTATATATATATATATAATCGGATACAATAAAAAAAAATTAAAATTTCTCAAGTTGTAAGATATAAAATTTTCTACAAATATATAAAAATGTGTTAGGCCTAATTTTTCTTTTTTCTCTATTCTTTTTACATGGATCCACACATTTTTATATGTGGGTAGAAAATAATTTTATTTCCTATAACATTAAAATTTTTAAACCCTAAACAAATAATTAAACTATACTTGAGGATCATTTATTTTGGAGAAACTTTAGAATCTTATGTTTAAATTTTAACTGCAAAGCAATCATTGTTGACGACTATAGAATCTTATGTTTAAATTTTAAACTAATTGTTACTGATTTTTGGATTTTACAGCATGAATTTGGAAAATGAAACAGGTCCAATGCAATTTTTTGGTCAACATTTACAAGTCTTAATGGCCAGCATTTACTTGGCCGGATGACCAACTTTTACATTGTCGAATGGTCAGCAGTTAACAAGGTCGGATGGCATCCATCTTACATGGTTGGATGGTCAACAACTCTTATATGGGCGAATGGTCGATTGGCATTCCATTTCAGTCGTCAGCAATGTGCTATTCACTCTTAATATATATTTATGATTCTCTCCTAAATGTTACTTAGATATCTCCTCTTTGGTTGATGATTTTTCTATACACTGGATATTCATCTACTAGTATTCAGTGCTCAAAGACACTTTAATCGAGTATATATGTAGGTTTTTCTGTGATCTAAACTCTCAATGAAAGAGCCAATCATTATGAATCTTGAGATCACTACCTTAAAAGCTAGCTCAAAAGATAAGAATGTCTAAGGCCTTATAAAAATCATATTTTTTGTATAAGCAACCTATATGGGTTAACAACTAATGGATATAACATCTACTTGCAAGTTTGCATATTCTATATTTTCTATAGTCTTGGTCACAGCAATCTCCAGAAGTCTTAGGGAAACTATGTTGATCGCCACTCTAAAAATTCTAGCTCACTTAGGAACTTATCAAGACCTAATTCCACTAGGCACTCTTCATAACTTGACGAGACTTAGCAGTATTAGAAAATGTTTAATTTTCTAATACAATTATATAATATTAGGGCCCATTTGGATGAACTTTAAAAAAAATGATTTTTTATGCATTATTTTTTTTAAAATAACTTTTTTTAAAAGGTAAAGTTATTTTACGTTTGGATGTATGATCTGAAAATTATTTTTACATAAAAAAAGTTGTTTGGATGTTAAAATAAAAAAAAGCACTCTTATATATAAAATTACAATAAAGAAGAGATAAAATAGCATAATCGTGACAAAACTTGTATAATCGTGAGTCGAAGCAACTAACTGTCCTTAAACAAATAGTCAATATCATTATTTTGTTATTGATATAAACATAATAAATAAAAAGGTATCCAAATAAATTAAGCAAATAAGTCTACCAAAAAAAACTAAGCAAATAATTGCAATGACAATATAAAAATGGGAGGCTAACAAATGCATAATAAATCTTATTTTCTTTTGTACTTTATTGTTTTTTATTTCTGAAAAAGAAATAAATAAATTTGATACTTAAAAAACTAAGGGAAAAGTGTGTATCATTTTAAAGGTTGTAAAATTGTGTCATTTTAAGTGAGAGAAAGAGATAGATAAAGAAGGAGAGAGAGAGTGAACAAAAAATTATAAAGGTGCGGGTCTCACCTCTTTGTGAGAGTGAAAGGATATAAGTTGTGTTATCTTACCTCTTTGTGAGAGTGAAAGAATATAAGTTGTGTCATTTAAAAGGACAAACATTTTTCCCAAAAACTAATTATGTTAGACAACCAAATACAGATGAACAAATACAAAAGTATTCATGCAACACATATGATAATACCCGTTGTAATTGTGTGACCTAAAGAAATTCATGCTTGTATTATTTAAAAGCTAAGACACAAGGAAAGGAAGATAACCCAGTGTGTTTTCAAAAATAAAAAAACTTACATAGTGCTTTTGAGAAGCCCATCACAATGCATTAGAAATTAAGAAAGTAATAAGTTTAATGATTTGTTTTTTTATTTTTTAAAGTATTTATTTAAATGAAATATTTTTTAATGCTGATATTTATCAAATTTCTTACACAATTTTCCCTAAGCGTTTGAAATGTCTTTCAACTCATTCAACTTATATATTCAATCAGATTAAAACATATCAAAATTTGCAAATTAGGTTACGCAACCAACTATCTTTGAATAAAGAATTAAAATTATTGTTTTTAATTAAATATACATACTAATTAATGATTACAAAAATACATTTAAAATCATCTAAATAAACTAAGACAAACAGTGATAACATAAGAAATTAGATATGTATGTTATTAATTGTTTATTATTTTTTATTCCAAATAAAAAAGAAGTTTAATACATTGAAAGAATCAAAATGTATTTGTATATGAAATGCAAACAAATACACATTACTTTCTACATATTTTGAAATAACTAAATGATGAGAAGTGTCATTATCATGATGTGCCAAGGGGCTGAGTGCAAGCTCAATATGACAAGTGAATATTTGGTGCTACCGGGTAGAAAAAAAAAGAGAAGAGAGAGAAAGAAAGAAGAATGAGAGAGAAAGGGACCATGAAAATGAAATATGACGCTTGATTGGTGTACCATTATAACAGACCTCTACAACTAACTGGCTTAGCCACAACTTCATAGACCCGTTTCTGTGATGCATATTCAGTAAGCACCTCATCAAACTCATAAGTGTCTGAATCCCAATTGTTTTTACGAAGCTTCAGTCTTTTAACCTGAAGGAGAGTAAAAAACACAAAAGAATAAAAACATTGAACTGGATCTATATACTTTAGCAAAAAAAAACAAATAAAAGGAATGCACCTTGTTGCAAAATCGGCAAGTATACCGTTCGTTTCAAGTAATAAGAGTGATAAGTAAAGATTGTTCCCTCGAGAATTAATGCACCAAGTATTAATTTAACTATTCTCTTTAAGTTGAAAAAGAAGATTGGTTTGATTGTAAAAGTGATTGATTGTTGCAATTTTAAAAACAAAATTTTAAAAACAATAATATTTAAAAGCATGCAAGAAATTATCAAGAACGTCAAGAAATTATAAAATTGATTAAAAATTGTAAAAAGACCGTAGTCACATGACGCACTTCATCTCTGATCCTCCCTTATATTCCTATATTGTATTTTATAATTAACTAATTGGTTTGATTAGACAATTCATTATTTCCCTATAAAATAGTTGAACCCTAATGTCTTAGTGATCTCAACCCTTTAACCCAATTAGAATCCTAATGTCTTAGTAATCTCTCTTGAATTAAGCATTAAGCAAATGAATTAAAAGTCTGCAATCTATGTAAGTCTATGTCTAGGTCATGCACAAATTGTTATTCTACCATTGTTCAGATTAAAACCCCAATATGTCTATTGTGAGCTCTAACCCTCAAAGCCTTATAATTAGAGTGATCAGTTCTAATCAGGATATGAAAAAATTAACACAGGTAGAATAAAACAAACTAACTAATTAACTTATAAAAACAGTATAGGAAATATAAAGGATTAATATCGGGTCCGTGATCCCAACTACAAAAAGAAATTAGCTAATCTGGTGAAGAGTATGAATCTTTTACCCAAACTAATCAAGAGCAATTATATTATTATTATTATTATTATTAGGGTAAAAGATTTCTACAGTAAACGGAGATAAATTATTTCCAATGAACTCAAAAAGATGTCATTTTTTGAGCAGAAATTAAGGTGTTTTTGTAATTCTAATATATTGAAAGGTTATATTAGTCTTTATCATTGTAATTTTATATTGCAAGGTTATTTTAGTTTTTATCCTTATAATTTTTAATTCTTATAATCCCAAAACGATGTCGTGTTGAGCTCAACGGAGATAATTTCATCTCCAGTAACTCTGGAGAAATATTTTTTCCTTATTATTATTATTATTTGGAATAAATTATATTATTTATCATTTTTTTCTACCTACCTTTGTCTATCACTGTTTAGTACCGTTAGATCAGAATCTCATCTATATTTATTATTTCCCTTTTCTATTGAGATTATGATCTAACTATGATGTTAGAGAATAATAAACAAAGATAGGAAAAAAAGAATGATAGATAAAATAATCTATCCTAATTATTTAAACATAATGATGCGTCCTCGTGCCAAATTTTTTATTGAATAACTTTAAGGTTCAATTACTTAAACTAAATATAAACATCATTGAGTGCCATCACTATACTATTACTACCTCTGCTCCTTATTGGCTTTAGTAAGATAAGCAGCACGCACGCCCAAATCAAAGTCCATCTTCGCCGCCATTTTTTATTTTCTTTCACTCTAAAATCTCTCTCACCACCAACCACGCTTAAAGCGACGCCGTTTCTGGGTTTGCCGGATTACCATCTTTTTTCTGAACTGCGAAGTGGGTTTCAGTGATGGCGATATTGAAGAGCTATAGCAGCCTCTGCTTCAGAGGAACAACTTTCCCTGTTTGCCCCTCCAATGTCACCCATAATAGAAACACCAGGTTCTATTTTTTTTTTTAATTTATTTATTATTACTTGAAATTATATTTCTGAGATCTGACTAATAGTAGTGTTATTTATGCATTTTTTTGGTTTTGGATAGATTATATTTTTGAATATTTTTAGTTCTGATTTTGATTTGTAGACATATATAGATATGGGTTATGGAAAATTAATGAAAAAAAGGGTTTTTTTTTTTTTTTTAATAGTATCATTGTTGATTTGTATGCATGAATGGACCATTTTTTACAATGTAGCTATACGTGTGAATAAGTGATTATGAGGAGAAAAATGATTTTCAGAGACATAAGATGGTATTGAACTGGATTAATGTGTGGGTTTATTAAAATTTTTGTCTTTTTTTTTTTTTGCAAACTTGGGTAAACGGTCAAACTTCGTAGTTACCTCTTCTCAGTTCTTTGTAGGAAATAATGCTTTCTGTTTGGCATAATGAAAAGTAGTAAAATGATCTATTGGTGTGAAAGATCCTTGTTCTCGATTTTTTAGTTTGGTTAATCCTTTTTCTTTTCAAATTAGTATCTTATTGAGCTTTTCATGTTGCAATATGATTTTGTCAGTGTCGTTGGTGAAACTATTTAGGGGGTTCTGTATGTCTTAGACCAGTGTGATTGGTGTCGATTGGGCTGCAGAAAAATATCAATTTTATATCATCAATCAAAATTTTTGTTTGTTTAATTTATGGGTTAGCTTTTTATGCAGTTACTGCAGATAAGTTATCTGCAGTAAGCCCAATACGACGTCGTTTTGGGGCGGAAATCATGGTGTTTTTGTAATTTTAATTTATTTCAGGGTTATTATAGTTTTTATAATTATAATTTTCTAATCTTTCAATCCCAAAACGACATCGTTTTGGAAGTAAATGCAGATAATTTATCTGCATTAACTGCAGAAATATTTTTCTGTTAATTTATACATTTGTTTGTATGAATCAGGAACTCATGCTGGAAGCCTACACAAGCAGCTGTGAGATCCAATTTCCACCTCCCAATGCGTAGTTTTGAGATGAAAAACAGGTGAGTTTGAATTATGAGTTTACTGTTTCAAATTCATTTATTGTTTTATTTTCCAGATGATGTTTTGTATATTATGTGTATATTGTGTAGATTAGGATGGAACTATAGAATGTATGCTATGAGTAGGATTTCTGGAAGAGACGCAGAAAATGGTTTTCATTTCTGGTTTGTGATGCAAGCATCTAGAGCTTTAAACAATATTCTCTCACTAATTTGTACTCTGAACTTAATTTGCATGTGTTTATCCGTTATGATTCACTTTGAGACTTAGTTTGTAATACAAGGCTCATATGTCATATAGATATGTATCTTTGATTGCACAGCAGATTTATAATGATTTATAATTTTTTTTTTAAAAGTGCAATTTTATAAGTACATATTTTAAGGAGTGTATTAAAAAACATTGATATGTGTTTCGAGCTTCATGAATGACTATCTACTTGTGTTGCTGGTTTCATTTACAAATCTAAATCATAAGAATCTGTACAAATGAAGCTATATGTATTGTATTTACAGGACTTCTACAGAGGACATAAAGTGTCTGAGATTGATTACTGCCATTAAAACTCCATACCTACCTGATGGTCGATTTGATCTTGAAGCATATGATGACTTAGTGAATATGCAGATTGTAAATGGAGCTGAAGGTGTTATTGTTGGTGGCACAACCGGTGAAGGCCAATTAATGAGCTGGGAAGAGCACATAATGCTTATTGCTCACACAGTCAACTGTTTTGGTGGGAAAATTAAAGTTATTGGAAATACAGGAAGCAACTCCACCAGGGAAGCAATTCATGCCACCGAGCAGGGTTTTGCTGTTGGAATGCATGCTGCGCTTCATATAAACCCTTACTATGGCAAAACCTCCTTGGATGGTATGGTTTCACACTTTCATTGTGTGCTTTCCATGGGGCCAACAATCATATATAATGTGCCTTCACGGACCGGTCAAGACATTCCTCCACATGTAATTCAATCCTTAACTGAAAGTGCTAACTTGGCTGGTGTCAAGGAGTGCGTGGGAAATGACCGGATCAAACAGTATACAGGTAATGGAATTGTTGTGTGGAGTGGGAACGATGATCAATGCCATGATGCTAGATGGGGCTATGGTGCTACTGGAGTGATATCTGTTGCAAGCAACCTGATTCCTGGTTTAATGCGAGAACTCATGTTTGGGGGAAAGAATCCTGCACTGAATTCTAAGCTCTTGCCTCTGATTGACTGGCTTTTCCACATGCCAAACCCCATTGGTTTGAACACAGCTCTTGCTCAACTTGGGGTTGTGAGGCCAGTTTTCAGGTTACCATTTGTACCGCTCCCTTTGGAGAAAAGGATAGAATTTGTCAATTTGGTGAAGAAAATTGGTCGAGAGCATTTTGTTGGAACAAAAGATGTTGAGGTTCTTGATGATGATGACTTTTTCTTGGTTAGTCGTTATTAATTTAGGTTACCTTCTAGGCTCATTGTATCCTTTCCAGGGTTTTGCGGAGTAGTGAGTTCAAGTCTAGTTTGTTTTGAGTGACTATTTTGTAGTTGGAAACTGGTTCAAATTTGTTCGGAATTATAATGCAACTGCATGTTTTATTAACTTTGTTTAAATCTTGCCAAATATCCTTTTAATGACACAAACTCACTGATGTAATGATAGAAATCAGAGCTCTGCTTAAGTTAAAACGAAAGGAGGTTTACATCAAAGCAGTGAAACATTATAATGAAGAACAAATCCCTGATTTACTTCCCTTATATTCCTCTGTATGGTAGCTTAGCTTTTCTTTTCAGAAGATTTTTAGCATATAATACATATACAAGGCAGAGAGGAAATTATTATTGAAGCATTAAGTGAAGATCATGTCTTTGCTTTCCTTCCCCTTCTTAGTTTTCTGGTGTAAATTTTCTCATTATCTCAAATGAATTTTGCCTATTGGACATTTTAGTCCTGTAATCTGCAACCGCTGCTTACATTAACTATGATCACGGGAAGATAAAATAGTGATAGGAAGATTAATTATTTATGATATTGGGTCTTGAATCATGTATTTACTGAACTGATTGTGTATTGCTCTTGAGAACGAACATATCATTTGGCATCTGCTGCCATTGTAATTGCACCGAATCAAATAGCTGAATCTTGTGATATTTCTATACACTGCTCTTGTATAACAAATACCAAGAATGAGTAGTACCTAAGCCTTTACAAAGACATGTAAGCTATTTACCAAAAAAACAAAACAAAAGGACATGTAAGCTAACTACTGGATGTTATTATATTACAAAATATGCTTATTCTATTGAAAATGAATATGATTTTATTAGGGATAAGTTATTTTGTCTACCTTTACCTACTTCTCTTAATATTGTTATATTACAATCTCATCCAATGATAGAGATTCACGGGATAAAATAAAATAAATCATTTTATCCCTTTCTCTCTCCCACTGCCTCCCGCCATTTCTTTCTCCTCCTACGTCTTTTGACCACCATCCTCTTCGTTGATTATCAAGGCATCAGTTGTACAAATCAATCTCGTCCCAAAACCAGACTAACGACTCGAATCAACGTGGGAATTTTTTTATTGATTTAGGTTTAGTTGATTGAACCATCGAATTGGCTTGAATCTCTGTGTAGCCTTAATTGGAGCCATGATTTCAGAAATTTCCCAACTCGTGAGATTGGATTTCTCTGAAACGTTTTGTTGATAATAAATATTTTTGTTTTCACATTTCAATGAGCATTGTCACATGAGAGAGAGGGGGTGGGAGGCAGTGGGGGAGAGGAAGAAGTAAAAATGTTTGTTTTATCCTGCAAATCTCTACCGTTGGATGAGATTATAATTTAATGGTGTTAAGAGAGATAGGTAAAGATGGGCAAAACAAGGATAGACAGAATAATTTATCCATTTTATTGTAGAACGTATAATTATAAATGAAATTGTTCCATTTCGGACTCGAGATTAGTCTCATATTGTTGGGATACCTAGGGAGATTCGGGATTAATCTGATTTGTAGAGATATCCCATTTTATTATAGAACATATAATTATAAATGAAATTGTTCCGTTTCGGACTCGAGACTAGTCTCATATTGTTGGGATACCTAGGGAGATTCGGAATTAATCTCATATTGTAAGGATACCTAGGGAGATTCGAGATTAATCTCATATTGTAGGGATACCTGAAAACCCGAATAATCTCAAAAATATAATTAGGGTAAGTATAAAAATAAATAAATTATACCCACAAGAAGAAAAGCCAAGACATGATTAACTATTCAGTGTTGCCTTCTCAAAACATACCATCAGAGAAACTAACAGGAAGTGACAAATTTGAACTAACACAGCATTGCACTAATCCATATTCCATGTAATGGTTACACTTGGCATATTACCTATTTATCTTTATTTTACGGCTCTAAACTTATTGCTAGAAAATTAATTAATTTAACCTCGAACTAAGAAGAAAATAAGAGAAAAGAGAGAGAGAGTTAAGATTCAAGGCTAACATATATCAGAAAAAGGATCAATGACACAGACCCTTAAATTTTTCCTACTCTTGGCCACACTGAATAAACTGTATATATCAGCTAATAGCTAGTTATTGTTGTTTTGTTGTGAAAGCTTCTTTTGGAGCTGAGATAAGAGGGCCTGATTCTCCTTGTGCAGAAGCATGGCTTGTTTCCTCAACTTCTCATTCTCCTCTATGATGCTTTGGTTCTCCATGTACAATTTCAAGTTTTTCATCTCAATCTCTGCTTTCACCACAATCATCCTTTTCCTTTGTCTTGCTTCTTTCAATTGTGCTCTCTTTCTGTACCATGATCATACAAGCCAATGTTACACATGCATAGAAGCTGCAAGAAACAGCAAAAATAACATGGTAGAAACAACAGTACGTACCTGTTGAGCAACCCCAACTGAAGGTGCTTGTGGTGTCTCTTGGATGGCCATGGACGTGGAAGTGTCAAAAAGAGAGCACCATAAGGGGTTTGTTTTGAAGAGAAAGAGCACATAACTTTACCCTTTAAAACCAAGTCTCTCTCTCTCTCTCTGAGAAGGGGTTAGAAGCTTGAGAGATAAGGTTCTCTTGCAAAACTGAATAATAAAAATAAACAAAAATGGGAAAACTTAAGAGATGATAGTGAGGCGTAACAATTAGGCTATAAGGGGTTTTTATAGGTGAGAAAAATGATAAGAAACTAGTAAGGTGAAAGAAAAGTTATATAGCTGTGATTTTGTATTTGTATTATTGTATATGCAAGAGAGAGAGAGAGAGAGAGTTCTATAGCAATGATGACACAAGGACTCATGATTACAAAGGGCAGCAATATATGAGGGAAAGGCAGAAGGGGATGAAGAAAAAAACCTCTCTGCTTTCTTGGCCTTTTTGATTTCTTTGTTTCAGAGTCTAAAGGTTCTAACTTGAACTTGGCTGGAATAAATCTTTGGTACTAGTATCAAAATTCAGTGTATCTTATTAATAAGAGCATTACATATCATAGGAGAGAAAAAAAATTTAACAGACAAAAAAAAACTTTAACTAACATGTAATATTTTGATTGATGGGATGTACTGAATCTTTACTGTGCACAGTAGCACAAAAAATGTATTCCTTGCTAACATTGAGTGAGAAATTAAGATGGGGGCACATAAAAAAAAAAGTACCGTACCCCATCCTATAAGTTGAGTTACACTTTTTTCGAATTTAGAAGTTTCCCCTTCAGTTTCAAGGTCCTCACTCTTACTATGGGATCTTCAAAGGAGAAAAATAGTCATAAAGTCATGTGGATTGTAATCAAATTAGTTGTGCTAATTATGGTAGAATAGAAGACAAGTTTGACATCATATTCAAAATGGGCAACATACAATTACTCCAGGTTCATTTACAATGGACCACTTTATGGTTGCTTGTAGTTTCCATATTTATTGTTATAGACAAGGGGTTGCCCCCTTTACTTCAGGTTGTCTCAAGTAACACAAGTGCCACGGATAGAAATACTAACCGTCAAGGGCATCTTGATAAAGAAAAACCAAATTTTTTTGTTTTGTTTCATGGTATATAAATCTTCATAGATTGGGAGATGATAAACGATTCATTGTTTTTTTCGTAAGAACTAAATGTGTACCAAAATTATACATTCTATTGTAAAATACGTCTCTCATATTGTATGAGATAATTTTGTCTTATACATATACAAAAAATAAATGGTATCTACTTTTCTTTTCTTTCTTCTCCTTAGTACGTCTCACTTATTTTTTTATCTGCTGCATAAGATAAAATTGTCACAACATAAGAAACGTAGTCTCCTAAAAAAATGACCGAAGGTTGAGATTAGTTTTATACCCAAAGCCACCCATGGAAGCAATATGCCTTTTTGCGAGGTTTGATAGAGAGGTGTAGGAGGAAACAACAAGATATAATAACGTGAGCTTTATGGAGAAGTATTTTTGGAAATACCTTTGGCCTTCATTATATCCGATCGAATTGCAAAAACAATATATATATCTCCAAAAAAAAAAAAAGGCATACAATAGGGCATTAAAGAGAAATCCTTTGGGAGGTGCTAGAGAAGAAGGGAGTTCATGTTGCTTATACTTTGGCCATTAAGGATAGGAATGATGGGGCTAAAAGTAGAGGTGAAAATTGGAGATTATACCATACAATTAGTCAGACAATTTAGGTATCTTATATCTATTATTAAAAGTGATGGGAAATTGAGGAAGATGTAAATCATAGGATTCAAATATGATGATCTCTTAAGAATTTCATTTTTAGAAATTAGTAAGTCATAGTTTGAATATTTTGTATTCTTTATTTCTATTATTTTAATAACATATAATTTTATTAAAATACTTACTTAATTTTGATAATAATTAAATATTTGAATAAAGAAGAATATATATTATTCTCTCTCTTTATTAAGGTACATATATATGGAAGCGATCTTTTGACTCTAGTGTAATACTTAGAAGTCTTACTCTCTATTTTAATCGTCCATCTAATGGTTATTATTTATTTAAAATTAATAATTAAATAATTGGTATAACTCAATAAACTGTAACTGTTAAATGGACGGAAATCAACGGTTAAGATGGAGAGTAAGACTTCAAAGTCATACACCAAAGTCAAAAGATCTATCCCCATATATATATATAGGGTCAGGATCATTTTACACCAGTGTAAGTTACACTTTCAATCTTGTCCATTGATCTCACTTATATCTAAAGACTCTAATTGTTTTAGTAATGTGAGCCATTTGATACAAGTGGATCAATGGTCAAGATTGAGTGTAAGACTTCTAACTCTTACACCGGTGTAAGAATATCCTGTCTCATATATATATATATATATATATATATATATATATATATATATATATATATATATATATATATATATATATATATATATATATAGGGTTAGGATCATTTTACACCAGTGTAAGTTACACTCTTAATCTTGTCCGTTAATCCCACTTATATCTAAGGGCTCAAATTTTTTAGTAATGTGAACTATTGGATACAAGTGGATCAATGGTCAAGATTGAGTGTAAGACTTCTAACTCTTACACCGGTGTAAGAATATCCTGCCCCATATATATATATATATATATATATATATATATATATATATATATATATATATAACATTGTAGGGTCAAAAAGTGATTATTTGTTTCATATAATAGTTAAGACTGGTCTTAAGTACGTAAGAAAGGTTTTGTTTGAAAAGCAGACTCAATCTTTCTAATCCTCTTTGTTCCTTTCACATTATGGAAATGTCTTTACGTGTTAGGCTTCTATAAGTTCAAGCAATGAAAATTCAAAACATTGTCATTATTCTTAATCTTTTTTTTGTTTTTTTACATAACCCCCGGTGTTTTATTTATTTATCGTCAACCTGGTTAGGCTAGCTCAAAATTTTAATTTCGTCTAGATAGCCTACCAAAGACGTAATCACTATTAAATACTTAGTTTTGGAGAAACAAAATGCAACCAATTAGATACAATGGTCAAAAGACAAAATAGATACAGCTTCATTACAGGGCATACATTATTTTATATAATTACAAATTTAATTTGGGTATGTTACTTTAGATGAACCAATCTAAGTCCAACTTCAAAAGAAGAGTCACATGGAATAGCACGTGAAAATCACATGGGGGGTAAGAAGAAGCCAATGGAAAATGAGTGATGTATTGGTAACAAGTATGAAGGGTGTAAATAGTCAATGTGGTTAGGTCCCTTCTTTTGTCCCTTTTCTTCATGTAATTGAGTACCAAAGCCATGCTCATTTATTTGGAAAATGAACCCCATTTGGCTTCATCTTCTTCACTATCATCATGACCATTTGTGTCCCCTCTCTCACATTCATTGGATGGTTTTTGTTTATATCATGATGGTATATAGTGGAATCTAGTATTCTCGTCCAACTTCAGCTAAGCCACTTCACATGTTCCCCTTAACACAATGGTGTCACAAATATTACCTTGGTATATATATATATATATATAATGGACATAGTTTATATATTTTACATGCATGATATAATAGTTTGCTAATAACCAAGATGGTAAATTGAATTGATTGTTTTATATGTTTGTGAAGTAAAATTTAAGATGAAAAGAAGCAGCAATGCGACATATAGGTATGGCTAATGTGGAGATGCTATAGCTAGGAAAGCGAAGTTTCATACTAAGGCAAAACGTGTGGGGCTATTTTGATCTTAAAGAGAGTCCTTTTCATTTAGTAGAGAAGCTAGAAAGGAAAAGCAGAGGGAAAGGGGAAAAAGTAATTTACGTATGACTTTGATGGTGATATGCATCTTTTTTCATGCTAGCATATATTATGTAAATACTTGTACATGTTTGATTTTTACCAAAGATAGATTTCAAAGATGGGTTCTTCTTGAATCCCTCATCATGTCCTTTTGAACAAGGAAGGTTGAGCCATTTGATGAGGGACAAGGACCACAAGCCTTCACTCATTTCTTGTATTACTACCTCCAAAATACTTGCACTACGGGGGAGGAAGATGTTGGTAGTCAACTATGATATCAAAATCCCTCACCATTATTTTCAAGATGATTTTATTGCTTATATTTTTGGGTATAGTTTATAGGTGTACAACTTATCTATATATATATTTTATGTAATTTTAGAGAAGATTCTTTTGGGTGCATGTGGGGTGTGTGGCATTTGAGATTTGTGTGGTGATATATATTGAAGGAAGGAAGGGGATAGACCTGTCTTTTCCTTTAATTAATAGGAGTACAGCTTATCTTTTACTCACATCCAAGTTTCTAAAACGGAAAGAAAAGGAAACAATTTTACTTGATCGCTATTCCCACCTATTTATTACTCATTTTGCTCATCAAAAATAATTTTTTTCATACATTTTCACTAAAAGAGTTTCCTAATTTCACTTAACTAAAACTATTGAATTCCTCTTAAAAAGAATAAAAACCTTATAATCCCATTTAAGAATTCAAAAAGAAAACTCAAATTATTTTAAAAATAATAATTTTAATTTTACATTATCACTAAAAATCAAGTTTTATATATACATTGAAAAAAAATATTTGTCCTGCCATACTCATATTAAAGTGTGTAAGACAAATGCATGCATTTTGAATTGGGTCATATTTTTTTGGATATAAGTAAGAATTGAACACATAACCTAAAATAACTTACACAAACCTCTCATCACTAGACCAATCCTAGTGACTTGATTAGTGTCATAGATTCTGTCATATATTTCTTTTTCATTTCGTCGAAAATTGATTTCACGGTATAGATGTTTATGAACTCCCCTTCTATGCCTTGCAATATTGATTCCTCCGACGTTATGGCCTTTAGCACAATGTTGTTGTCCATAGATTAAATAATTTCGTAAATTGAATTTCACTTGACTGTGTATGACTCCATAATATGTGGTCACGGTAAAAGTTTTATATAAATTTATCGTCATGCAATTATGTATTTTTATTTAAGTCCTTTTAATTCTAAGTAGTTCATATTGATAGAAGACTTCATTTTGCATAAATTTTTTATCAAATTATTATAGTCTGTATGATTTTGTTATTGGTCAATGTAATTACATGAAATATATGAATAAACTCTTTGAATCTTCTTGTAAGTTGGTTGATGGTGGTGTTCCGTTGATAGAATCGAGGGTTTTCTACATGCAGAAATTACTCTTACGCTCAAGTTAATATTAGGATGGAGAATTCAAATAGGTTAAATATGTATCAGAGTGTAAAGACCCTATAATTATAACCATATCAAAGCAGAATAATCCATTACTATGATCGTGAAATCAAAAAATATATTCTGAAAGATATATAACCGATTTCGTGAGATAACCATAGGTAATTCATGAAAGGATTCTAAGGTGGTTCGGAAGGTGGGGGGCCAATATACTCATTGGAAACTATATATTACCTTTGTTACAAAGTATCTTATTAATTAGAAAAAATATACTTAAAATTTTCTATTAACCAAAAATGTCCTATATGTAAATATTAAACTCCTTTTTGCATTTGATAAATGCATGGTGAAATATATCATAAAATAAAGTAATAGAATAGAATATATATATATATATATATATATATATATATATATATATATATATATAGATGGATGGATGGAGATATATGTGAACAATTATAATTAACTGGAGAGTAGCTGTAGTTTCACATGCACTATTTATGTATTGACTGCTATCTCATTCACCTCTCACCATCAACAATGTGGTCCACCTCAACATCACAATTTCCCTTCCATTCAAATTAGAAATCTATGATCTTCCTGCCACTCAATTATCCACTGCCATTGATTGCCTTCAAAATTGGTACACATCCTCATCATCATTATCACTTAGCTTCGTCTTCTATTACCATCATCATCATGACATTTTTAAACATTTACAATTATAGCTCTATGAATTTTCACCAGATACACTCAGAGAGGTTGGAATCTCATGCAGTACAGAAAACAGTAGCTGCCCATAACGTTACAATATAATATTTGTATCTCTAGCTAGCTGTGAACTTATTATAGCACATAATGTAACAAATTTGGATGTATTATAGAGAATCTTAATGTACATTATTTACTTCTCTCAAAGACATTGTAGGAACTGTTGGGAATTTTAACTGGGATTCTTTCTCCCTCTTATGATTGTAGTTTTAAACCTTGTTTATAAATTTAGTTTTTCAGAGTTCCTTAAAAAGTGTGTGTAATACTTGAGTCTCATATTAATTGGTATATCACTTTTAGATGTTCTCCTTAGTGGAAACTATTATATAGGTAATATCTTATGGTAGTGGGCCATTGAATAGATCATGGATCTAACATGCATATTACAAATTTACAGTTGTGCAGAGGGTTGATTAAGCTTTGTTAACACCCTTATATCTTCACCTTTCATATTAGCAATTTGTCTATGCTACTATTTTCCACTCAAAATATTCTTTTGTCAGATTGTGTTGTTGATGCTCAACTAACACTCTCCAAGCTCAATACAGTAAGTTATATAATTATAAAATGTTTTTTTTTTAATACAAAATATATTGTGTTGTTTGGATGTAGAAGAAATTCCAATTCAAGTACTACTTTTTCATGAGAATTCGATTGTTAGGTTCCAAATAAACTAATCTTATTTATATCATTTTCATTACACCGTTTTTATGTCTCCTTTTTTATTAATAAAATAAAAAATACATTCTAATACACATACTTCCTATTTTCATTTTTCCAATAAAGTATAAGGATGGTATACAAAAAACAAAGTCTATTCTGGAATTGGCCTTTGATTTAACATTAACATCGTTTCAGTTTTTAAAGTGTTATCAAATAACACTACTCATAATAAAATAATTATATAAGTGTATGATTATTCAGCATGAGACAGGTATTTCATCAGAAAATAAATGACAAAAAAATTTAGCAGAACAAGCATTAACATCTCTACGACAAAAATAATCATACTTTGTCTTGTTAACGTAATTAATTTTATAAAGGGTTGTTATTTCATGATTGATATAAAAAATACGTAAGGTTCAACTTAAATTGAAAGACATTTATTTGATTTCTGAAAAAAAAAATTATTTCCTGCTATCCCAAAATGATATTATTTTGAGGTTTAGAAAAAAAATGTAAAATATTTTAAAAAATTATTTTTCTCTTGTATAATAAATTTTATTACAATACCCTTTATTATTTTTCTCAAACCCCAAAATAATGATGTTTTGGAATTGCAGTAGAAAAATTTATCTCATATCATAAGAGAAACATTAGGGCAAAAAAAAATTAATTTATTACTTTTTTAATAAAAAATTACGAATAAGTAGTCATTTTACAAAATATTACGAATCTATAGCACCAAAACATTAGGTTCAAAAGCATTAACATATTAATTGCTGTTAATAAAAAAAATAAACAATAAATAGGGACTTACATGAGAGAGAGACAGAGTTTCGCCGCGCAAAACCCTCCAAAAGAAATGTAGAGAGAAGGAGGAGGAGGAGGTTTAGAGAGAGGATGGGAGGGTGGAAATAAGGTAAAAAGGTGAAAAACCCATATATATAGACCACGGAGAACACGCCCATCAGGGGCGTGTCTCTCTCTTGCAACACACGCCCTATGTTGGGTGTGTCTACCATCACAGCTCACGCCCCATAAGAGGCGTGTCTCTTTCCTGCCACTCACGCCCTACATTGGGCGTGTCCCCTTCAGTAGCTCACGCCCCACATGGGCGTGTCTCTCTCCATCAGAATACGCCCCATGTGGGCGTGTTTGGGTGCTATAGATTCGTAATATTTTGCAAAACGACTACTTATTCGTAATTTTTTATTAAAAAAATAATAAATTAATTTTTTTTCCGAAACATTAGCCCTAACATTTTATTATTGAAAGAATTTGAGCTTTGAAACACTCATGTTCCATCGCCATTGATCTAGATTGGTATTGCATTGAGATATGCAACACCCATCCTGGTCAACTTTTATATTTGAATGAGTGATTTATTATATTGGGCGTAAGCGTTCAAGTGCTCTCACCCATAACAAATTCAAATTGAAAGGGGATTTTTCATTCATTTATCTTTCTTTTCACTTCCTTAATTTCTATTCTCCTCCCTTCCCGTATACCAAACAACCAAGAAGATTTCCATTCAATCATTTTTCTTCCCTTCATAAAGGCCAGACAATGAACAAGGGTGAGCGTTCCAATGATGGAACATGCATAACAAATGTAAGGGGATTTTTCATCCATTCATCTTTCTTTTCCTTTCTACCACTCTTAATTTGTATTCTCTTCCCCTCCTATATACCAATCATTACAATGAATTCCATTCAAGTTTTGTTCCCCTCCTATACACCAGACAATGAGCGAGTCTCTGATTTTCTATTGTCATATGCTAATTTTCACTTCAACCATATCTATAATATATATTATATTGACAATATCGTTAGGAAAAGTGGCAACATACTGAGGCGATCATGTCAAGCCTAGCCAACTTCAGATTCAGATTCCAAGCATATATGACAGAAACTCATTGGCTAAACAACTGTAAATTCATGTCGAAGTTAAAATCATTAAGGTGTACTTTCCTAAATGGACTGGGATGTTTTTTTGCTGGTTATCCAAGATGTAAGCCTGTTACTAACTAGCAAGTTCATACCTCATTTATACATTATTTGCATTTAATGAAACAGAATGGCAACAAAACCCATAAGATTAATAAATTAATTACAAAAAAAAAAAGCCTTAAATATAGTTATAGAGGGTGAGGAAAGCAAGAGACTGATCAGTAAAAATACAGGAGATTCCTTCAGCATCTACAACAAATCTACGTACAGTCCACAGCTATCCAAGAAAATCAATCTTCTTGAGTGGCTTCATCATCTTCATCCATGGCATCATCCTGCTTTTGAACCTCCTCGCCATGGTCACTACCCTGAGTTTCTTCATCAGATATTGATCCACCCTTTGCAAAGGCTCTATCATCATTGCCAGGGTCGCTACAACTCTCAGTATCTGAGTCAGATGAACCACCATGGTCTTCTTTCCCTTGATCACCATCATATCCAGAACCTCCAAATTGCTCCCTTAAATCTGGAGCAACAATGCCAATCATCTCAATTACTGCAAGTCGTTCATTCTGTCTGGCGGCAGCAGCATCAGAATGAGTGCTCTGACTCTCAGCCACCAGGGTATTTGAATCATGCAATGCCCCAGAAGCTTCATTATTGTCTCTACTTGGAGATTCATTTTCTCCAAGCACAGAAGGGGCTGTACTGCAAGCCCAGCTACCAGCGACTTCAGAAGATAAAAGGTCAGCTGTTCTGATTAAGCCTCCAGCTTCTGCATCCTCAAGGGTCTTTTGAGTGTCTACTGGATTATTGGATTGTGAGTGATGTAAAACTTCACGACAAGGTCTTTGAGCATGCTCCTCGGTTTCTTGTACATTGATATCATCATCTAACTGCATAGTGTCTCCATCTAGAGGACCACACTTGTTCAAATCAATATTCCGCTCACCATCATTTGCAGGACTTTCAGTTTCGAGAACCCGCTCAGTGCCTACAACATCTCCCTCCATCATAGCTGCTGTGCCAACATGTTCAATATCAGAGCCAAAGCCACCTCTGACACCATGGTTGTGATCAGCACTGGTGAATTCTGCCTCTTGTGTATTTTGGCATTCTTCACTTCTTATATCACAGTCATGCTTCTCAGTGACACTTGCTTCGTTGCTTGATGTTTCAATTTGATCTCTGTTGAGCTTCTGTGCGGAAGTAGTTGATCCTGCCTTGGCAGCACTGTTGCTATGGTATCCTGCAACTTCTTTTTCCCTGCCTGAGGCTCCACCTACGACTCCATCCATATCTACAGAAGTATTCTCATAATTCTCTTCATCTTCTAGAGTTCTCTGCATAGCCTTCAATTGTTCCTGTTGCTTAGCAAACAGCCCTTGTATCTCCTCCGTAGTGGAATAAAATGCTCGTAGCTGTGCTTCCCTGCATGACATCACTGAGCTTCAGCTGCAAAATCTATAAATCTTCAATCACCATGAATAATAAGGCAGGTGTACATGTTGCATCACAAAGCAAAACTGTCAAACAGCATTTCATATACAAACAGTACAATGCAGCAGCATGCCAACCAACAGAGACTTGCAAACATACAGCTGGAATCAAATTAACATGAATGACACGACCTACTTATGGACACCAGAATCCTCTATTTCAATTGAAATAACATGTCAAATAGAGAATATTCTAACCAAAACAATACAATTTATCACAGAACCCTCTCTTTGTTTTTGCTATGATCACGTGCTTGTACAGACATGCCCTATAGAGAGATAATACCCTTCAATCCTGCACTTAAGGGTTTATGAATAGAACAAGGGTTTATGAGCAGCAATTACTCTAAAGATCTCATGTAAATAAGGTTCCCTGAGCCATTAGATAATCTTATCCTTGTTTAATATGTTTCTACATCCTTTATATCTCATTTTTTTTAGAGCTGCATAAAAATTATTTAAGATCCATGAAAGTAATGTTTTGAAGATTCTTATTAAAAATTCTTAGAATTCCTATCTATTTTAATCTACATAAAGTATTACTATTATAACACAGAAAACCAAAGAATAGCAATATACAAGTAGCTGGAAGAAGTATGGCAGCTAAAGGGCTGCACTGTATCCTTTGATATTCTAAGCCAGCACGCCTGTGCAGTATCTGTTGGAAAATAAAATGATCATGTAAATTCATTCCACATACTTTTCAAATAGCAGATGTCCCATGATCATATTAACAACAAAATCAATCCTTACCGAAGCATAAGTCTTTCCCTGGCACCTTTTAACCTCCGCCTCTCAAAATCAAGATCTCGCATTGCAGCATTTATCTCAAGCTCAAGAACAGAAACTTTAGCCCATGCTTCCTCTCGAGCTGCCTGCTAACAACAGCAACAAAATATATCAGCTTCAAATAAGGAAACATCACCCCCCCCCCCCCCCCCCAAAAAAAATAAAATAAATAAATAAATAAAAATAAAGGATAAGATAGAAATCAAAAAGAAAGAAAAAGAACCAATCAGTAAGCCAAGCAACGTATAAGTTATAAGATTCTATATTCTATGGACTATGGGCACTACTCAGTTAAAGTCATGGCATTTGTCATATCAATAACTTACTCTGCAGTCTCTTTGAAATAACATTAGCAAGATACATGGGTGTAAAGCAGACATCATTTCCACAAAAACAACTTTGTATTCGATGACATGAATTTCTCATATCTACCTTTTCACTTTCAAGCTCTTTCCTTAATCTTCTTGCTTCCTGTTCAAGTTCTTCGACTTTCTGCTCCATGAATTAGCAGTTACTTTCAGCTAGATATAAATCAAAATATGATAAAGCACATTATACTGGATATAAAATTATCTGATTACCTTCATTCCATTTTCAGTGGCCAGTTTCTGTTCATGTACTTGGGCTTCCAACTGGCGAACCTTATTATCAGAGGCAACCAACTTTTGCCTAGTATCCTCCTGCAACATAAAAGGAATAAAGAGGACCTATATTAAGTTCATAAATTTTGGCCTATCTTACAGTAACAGGAGCAAAAACGAAACCATACCAGCTTGGACCTCAAGGTTTCGACCAGTAAACACATTTCTCTCTCTGACTCCTAAAACATATAATAAGAAAGCTTGTGAGCTCCTTCAAGTAGAAAGAGAACAGTTTCTAACTAATTTAAAATCAAAACTTCAAACCTGTAGCTTATTTATTGTTTCTTGTAGCTCTCTTTCTCTTCTTAAAGCAGCATCTGAGAGTCGTTTTAATTCCTCTTGAGCCTCAGACTGGGCTCTATGAACAGCAGCTTTTAGATCAGCTGCAGCCTTTTCTCGCTCTTCTTTTCGCTGAGTCCTCTCTTCATCTAATTGTTCCTTAAGTTCAGCTATATTCACCTTTTGACTGCAACCATAAGAGAGAGAGAGAGATGCAATTACTAAACTGCGCAACATATATTATTATTACTTTTAGATTTATCCATCTGAAACAAATTAGTGGAAAGCATGCAACTTGTTAGAGATGTAATACGAAACTTCACCTAATAGTTTAAACTTTTGGAATAGTTAATTCATGACATGATGTCTGAGCCTCTATGATCAAGTGGTCTAGAGTTCAATTCTTGCCACCTCATTCTTATAATAAAAAGTTGAATTTTAGCATAATATAAATGGGCTTGTACATTGTCTACACTTTAAGCCCAAAAGACTACTGCTTGAGAGGGCAAGTTAGAAATGTAATATAAAGTTATTTGTGTGTCTTCACATAACAACTTAAGTTTTTGGGATGGTGTCATATACATCCTCCTATGATGGTCATAGTACTAACTACTAAGTAATTCAAAACTAATTTAAGTGTTTCACAACTTCGACATAGACAAGCAAAACAAATCCCACCTTTAGCCACATAAGTCACTTTTTACTGAAGACAATGAGGTCTAACATGAATGTATCTCTAGGTGAGCAAACATGGACATGTATGCGCAAGTTGAACTAATAGTTGGGAGTTGCTAGACTTGGGTTCACTGAATCTTGAATCTGGACCGTGGTTAGCGAAGTGAATCAACCTCAAGCTAAACCATCAAGCTTGACTCATGTCAAACCACCAAGCTTACATACCCACTTGTTTGCCAAGATTGAATCATGGGTTCAATTAGGGTTGGCAAAAATTAGTCAACCCGTCGGGTTGACTCGTAACCCGTGAAAAATGAGTCGGGTTGGGTTGGCAAAAATGAGATGCCAACCCGACCCGAGCCAGCTCGGGAAAAAAATGAGTCAACCCGCGAGTCAAAAGGGCTAGCACGCGGGTTGAGTTTTTTTATTATTTAAATACCAAATATAATATAAAAAAAGGGACAAAACCCACACATGTTGTCATCGTCTTTCTTCCTTCTCTAAACCTAAGTCCCTAATCTTCTCATATTAGGGCCATTTTTGTTCGGTCTCTCACTTAGAAATTGAGACGCAGCCGCCAGCCACCACCGTCCGCGCTCCGTTAGCCCCTGGCTTCATCGCCTTAGCTGCTCAGTCTTGGCCTCGATTCCTGCTTTGAAAGCTTCTTGTATTCTCGGTTTTTGCAACACCCACACATCAGGTTTGTATTTTTTTTTAGGAAGTTTGCCTAGCTCTGTTCTTTGATTTCCCAGCTTCTTGTATTCTGATTGTTTCTCAATGTTGGTGCAAATCTGTTGTGAAGAAAATTCGAAACTAGAACATTTTGCTTTTGCTTCTCATTCTGTAACCTTTTTCTATTTTTCTTTTTTATAAACTATTTTGTAAGACAATTGTATTGTTTAAGCTTATGGAAGCCACATAGCTGGTGAATTAATACTATAGGTTCATTTAAATAGGCTGAAAATGAGCCAACCCGCGAGCCATTTTGAGCCAACCCGCGAGCCAATTTTCGAGCCAACCTGCAAACCATTTTTTCGAGCCAACCCACGAGCCATATTTTCGAGCCAACCTTAACCCGGCTCGGGTCGGGTTTGATTGGTTTTCTGTCTCGATTTTTTTTTTTCAAGCCAACCCTAACCCATATCATTTTTTTCGAGTTGCATGCAGGTGGGGCCGGGTTGGCCCATTTTGGCCAACCCTAGGTTCAATAGGTACTTAATTTCGTTTTGTATACAGAAAAGCCACCTCAAATTAACTTTCAATTATTATCTTTTTAATACTACATAATGTCTCTTTTATTAAACTTAATGTCTTGTTCTGGATAGAGCCATTAATGTAACCTCACCCAACAACTTAAATTTTTGGCTTAAAATGGTTCTTTACATAATATCAGAGCCGACATGACTAAGTGATTATGAGTTCGATCTTCACCGCCCCTATTTTATTAATAAAAATAATTAAATATTGTGGAGTTTCTTAGCACAAGTACGCTAGGCCTGATGCATCATCCACCCTTCAAACCCAATAGACTCTTGTGTGAGGGGGTGTGTTAGAAAAATATAAAACTATTAAGGTAGCCTCGCTCAACAGCTTAAACTTTTGGATTAAAATGGTTCTTTACACGATCATAGTACAACAATTTCATCTTGTTACCTTTTAATTCTGTTTTACTGGTTCAGGATTGTAACAATCCTAAAGGACTTTTGTACGAGGGGGTATGTTAAATATAAAAAACATTCATGTGCTTTCACCCAACAACTTAAGCTTTTGGAATAATTGGTTCATGACAATAAACCTCTGATACAGCAAATAGAAGGGATTCTTGCATCCCTGAGATCGTTGACACCACAAATAAAAAGCATGGACCTAAGCACCAATTCAATGTAGTCTTAATAGACTACAATGACGGGAATATCTGAGGAAAACCATTACTATATTGTCTATTCTCATGGCAACATAAAAATCAATCACCCAAGGTGCAGCTGAAACATTATATATATATATGAACTACTTACGTCTACAATACTTACACCAATGAATCAATCTATTAAAAGAAAATGATATCATTTTCCGACTTAGTGAAGAATTAAATCATACCTACTTATTATAGCATTTGCTTCAGCACATGACTGCATAGAAGCACTAAGCCTTTCATTAAGGTCTTCCAGAGCATGTTTTTGTTCAGCAGATGCTCTGTTGACATCCCCCAGTTCCTTCTGTTTTAGATCCACCATTTGCTGTAATTCTTTTAATTGATCAAGGTAACATTTTGCAACCGACTCTTTGACTGTTTTCAATTCCTATAGAATGGATCATAAATTAGGTAGCATATTGCAGAATACAAAATACATGAATAAATAAGATTAAATCAAGATTAAATATTTCTTTTAGAATCCATAGAATGCAGAGATAGTTGTTGAAGATCACATGTGCCTTTCTTTGTAAGACAAGGAGAGGTCATAAATTCAGTGGTAGAGCTTAGAGTATCAATATCATGAATACCATTGGTTAGGCGGGAAAGTATCTTAAAAAAATAAAAAATTGTAAAATAAAATTGTATGTTAAGTATTAAGTTTGAAAAAATTTTGGGGGACCCTTGGCTAACAATAGGTGCTGCCCCTGTAAGTTCACCAATGATTACATACACTTTCATGACGCTCAATAGCTGCACGGCTGTCACTACGCAAAGTATCAATTATAACCACCTGATTCTCCAATTGCTTTCTTAGTTCCTGTCAAGAAGAAAATTGACACAATTAAAGGAAAAAAAGTTTGCACGACTAATTAATACTGCAATCCTTCTAAGTTAACACACCGTGTTTGATCTTTGAAGGCTTCTAAAATCATCAAGAGATATGGGACCCTCAGGAGCACCAATACCTAAACCTTTCAATCTCTTGTTCTCAGAAACAAAATCCTCTACACATTCAAGAAAAGAGAAGGAAAGACAGAAAGAAAAAAAGCATAAGTGAAACAAAAGCAAATATCAGTTTCAGTATAATATCAATATATTATGTTATATATCTTAATTATCAATACAATATGAAGTAAATTGCAAGTCAGAATCAAACGTATAGGGAAATATGAATATCAACAAATACGTGAATCTTCAAACCTACATAAAATTAGAAGCATGAATTCATTTACAAGCATAGATCAGAGTAGAATGCAAGAATGATTAAAAAAATAGTAAATATATGTGCTACTGATCATTCACTACCTGCTTTTCTTTTAGCAACTGAATTTTCTGGCAATGGGGCAGACACAAGCACTTCTCGATATACAAAAGCAAATGCAAGTTCTGCATGATAAGAGACAAGTTATAATAATATGGAAATAGAACAAACCCATACTTCAAAAAGCTTGCAAATACAGAAGACAGCAAATATTCAACAGCAGCAATTCCTCAACTTTTAACAAGAAAATCACAGCAACTGTCTAACTTCAGAAAATAAACAACATCCGGAAGCAAAAGAAAATGTAACAAAAGTTGTAATACAATAAAAATTAAAGAAAATATTATATTTAGGACAATGTTTATTTCTTTTTACAAATAAGAACGAAATTTTAAAAAAAGAAAGGATACATAAATAAATATCATTATATTAACTTTTCCAATGCCAATTTGCAACAAAAGAGCACTAAAATATAAAGTTTCTTCAATCTTATCTAATATTTTTTTTCCATTTTTGTAATATTTTTGCTAGAGATGTAATAAAAATTTATTTATGTGTGTTCACCTAAAAGCTTAAGCTTTTGGAAATGTTGGTTTGTGATAAGGTATTAGAGCCTGTATGACCAAGTGGTCTAAGATTTGAGATTTGCAGCCCCATTCTTCCAATCAACATCAACAACACCTTTATCCCAAACTAGTTGGGGTCCGTGGCTGATAAATCCAAATGAAAAGTGCGAAAAGATTGAGGAAAAATAAAAATATCAAAACAAAAAAGGGGTAAAAAAAATTTAAAACAAAAATATCAGTAACCATATAAATTAGAAAAATAGCAATAAACATCAACATCAACATCAACATCAACAACACCTTTATCCCAAATTAATTGGGGTCGGTGGTAGATGAACCCACATGAAAGATACAAAACAGTTGACAAAAAGTAAAAAAAATAAAAAATAAAAAATAAATAAATAAATAAATTAATAAATAAATAAAAATACACAAATAAAATAATAAAATAAAATAAAATGAAATAAAAATATATGTATATATAAATAAAGAAAAGTAAAAAAGAAAGGGACAAGAAGAAGTGGGGGAAATGAAGGGGAAAAGGACTAAAAAAGGACCATCTGGAACATAGGAATAACAGCGGGTCTAACCCTCCACCATACTTATAGCTTTTCTCCATTCCTTTCTAAGACATACTGTCCGCCAATCTATATCCCACTCCATTAAATCTTGTTTTACTACTTTCCCCCAAGTAAGCTTTGGCCTACCTCTGTCTCTTTTTGTGTTTAGCTCTTGGTAACAAACTTCTGTTCTTACAGGAGCATCCATGGGTCTTCTCATCACGTGCCCAAACCACCTCAATCTATGTTCTCTCATCTTCTCGGCTACCGGTACTACTCTGACCTTTCGTCGAATATCTTCATTTCTTATCTTATCCATCCTTGTGTACCCACACATCCACCTTAACATCCTCATCTCTGCTACTCCCATCTTATGCTCATGTTGCCTATGTGCTGGCCAGCATTCCGCTCCATATAGCATTGCCGGTCGTACTGCCGTTTTATAGAATTTTCCTTTTAACTTCAGGGGAATTTTGCGGTCACACAAAAATGCAGATGCACTACGCCATTTCATCCACCCTGCTCTGATTCTGTGATTTACATCCTCATCAATCTCTCCACCATTTTGTAAAATGGAGCCAAGTATTTAAAAGCATTTTTTTTAGGTACCTCTTGACCATTTAGATGCACAGGTTCTTGGTCCTCATCTTGTACCAGAGAAAACTCACACTTCAGATACTCAGTCTTGCTTCGACTTAATGTGAATCCTCTGGATTCCAATGTGCTTCTCCACAATTCAAGTTTTCTATTAACACCCTCCTTGCTCTCATCAATAAGCACAATATCGTCTGCAAAAAGCATACACCATGGCACTTCCTCTTGAATATCTTTTGTTAGTTCATCCATAACTAAGGCAAATAGGTAAGGACTTAGAGCCGACCCTTGGTGTACACCTACCGTGATAGGAAAATAACTTGGTGATCCGTTACAAGCTTTTACACATGTAGTAGCCCCATCATACATATCCTTGATTGCCTTTACATACTTTAATGGAACCTTTTTCTTCTCCAGGACCCACCATAAAACTTTCCTTGGAACCCTATCGTATGCTTTCTCAAGGTCTATGAACACTATATGCAAGTCCTTCTTCTTTTCTCGGTATCTTTCCATTAGTTGTCGCATCAAAAAAATGGCTTCCATGGTAAATCTTCCTGGCATAAATCCAAATTGATTTACAGAAACCTTGGTATCTCTCCTCAAGCGATGTTCAATAACCCTCTCCCACAGCTTCATAGTATGACTCATTAGCTTAATGCCTCTATAGTTTGAACAATTCTGTATATCTCCCTTGTTTTTGTAGATAGGCACAATCATACTTTTCCTCCATACATCAGGCATCTTATTCGTCTGGAGAATCTTATTAAAAAGATTGGTCAACCATTTTATTGCCACATCCCCCAGGCCTCTCCACACTTCAATAGGGACACCATCAGGCCCCAAGGCTTTATTAGTCTTCATCCTCTTTAAAGCCTCCTTAACTTCATGTGTATTAATTCTGCGTACAAATCTTCTATTCATATCATCATACGCGTCCCCTAAGTCCACCTCGCTTGTATTTCCATCCCCATTAAACAGCTTGTTGAAGTATTTCAACCATCTTTCATTTACATCTTCATCTCTCACCAGAAGTTTTTGATTTTCATCCTTGATGCATCTAACTTGAGTGAGGTCTTTACTTTTCTTATCCCTTATCCTTGCAAGTTTATAAATACCTCTTTCACCATCCTTGCTCCCAAGACTTTTATACAACTCGTCGAAAACCTTGCCTCTCGCTTCTCGCACTGCTTTCTTTGCATTTTTTCTCGCCAATCTAAACTTTTGCAGGTTCTCTTCATTGGGACTTTTATGCAAAGATCTAAAGCACTCCTTTTTATGTTTAATTGCCTCTTGCACCTCTCCATTCCACCACCATGTTTCCTTTGTATGAAATCAATTTCCTTTGCTTTCTCCCAACACCCTCCTTCCCAAATTTTGAATACACTTAGCCATCTCCTTCCATATTGCATTTACTCCTCCATCAAACTCCCAAAGTCCTTCGTGCAACATTCTATCATTGAACTCTCTCTTTTCCCTCCTTAAGCTTCCACCACCTTATCCTTGGATTCTGAGCCCTCTTCTTCATTGTACGTACTTTGTTGAACCGAACATCCAAGACTACCAGCTTATGTTGCGTAGCAACACACTCTCCAGGGTAGACCTTACATTCGACACAAGAAGTTCTATCTTCTCTTCTAGCCAGAAAGAAATCAATCTGACTACGATTATGGCCACTATGATAAGTGATCAGGTGTGACTCCCTTTTTTGAAAAAAGGTGTTCACTAACATCAAATCGTAGGCTAGTGCAACATTCAAGATATCTTCTCCAGTCTCGTTTCTCGTCCCATAGCCAAAACCTCCATGGATTCTATCAAAACCTCCGTTGCTTTTACCAACATGACCATTTAGATCTCCTCCTACGAAAATCTTCTCCTCTCGAGGTATTCCCCTCAAAACCTCCTCCAAGTCTTCCCAAAATTGGCTTTTATCAATTGGTTGCAATCCAATTTGGGGTGCATACACACTGAGGATATTCAGGATTAAGTCACCCACAACAAGCTTAACCAGAATAATCCTGTCGTCTTTCCTTTTGACGTCCACAACTTTATCTCTGAAACTTTTGTCGATCATAATTCCAACACCATTTCGACTCTTGTTCGTACCTGTGTACCATAACTTGAAACCAGTTCCATCCACTTCCTTGGCCTTTTCTCCAGCCCACTTAGTTTCTTGCAAACAAACAATATTCACTTTCCTTCTAGCAAAAACATCTGCCAACTCCCTCAATTTACCCGTTAAGGTTCCTATGTTCCAGCTTCCCAATCTCATCCTTAACCCCTGGGCTGTGCTTGCCCGCCACGCTCGCCCATCTGCGTGTTGGGACCCTGGCATACTTCTCACCAAATCCGGGTGAAGACCTGGCGCCTTGCCTTGGAGCAAGGACCCTAGCCCACTTTTCACTACACCTCGGACCCGATGCAGCGCCTTGCCTTGTGGCAAGGACCCTAGCCCATTTTTCGCTACACCCGGGGCCCGGTGCAACGCGTCGCTATGAAGGGTACGCCCCAACGAAAAATCATATAGGTTCATCACATAAAAATAGCAATAAACAATTAAAAATAAAATAAAATAAAGTTAAAATAATGCCCCGTTCTTCTAATAAATGTTGAATTTTAACACAAGATAGATGGGCATGTGTATTTCCCACACTTCAAGTTCAAAAGGCTCTTATAGGAGGAGGTATGTTAGAAATATAACATAAAACATTCACGTGTCTTCACCTAACACTTAAAGCTTTTGGGAGAGCTGGTTCATGGCACTTTTCATAAATAAAGGAAATTAAAAGAGCAGACATAGGAAATTAGCCATTAGAACTGAAGCATTGAGTCATTGACAAATAAAATAAAAAATCTGCTACTACAAGTCTACAACTATGGTGAGAAAAAATGGAATATGAATAAAAGAAGAAATATGGAAATATTAAGCCATTGGAAGAAATTCATATTACCATACTGAGGAGGAGCAGCAAATGATATAATATCACCATGGCAGACTTTGACAGCAGAACCATTCTTTTTCAACTTCTCCCAGTTAAGGTAAGTTCCATTTGTGCTGAACAAGGCTTTACAAAAATCAGAATATGAGGAAGGAAAAAAAAAATCTATTTTCCTATTGAACAGGAGGAGGGATGGGGGGATCCAAACTCTAAAAAGAATCCACAACCTTGTATCTTTCAAGAATATTGATGAGGTGTTCTCCATATTTTCGGTAGTAATCCTCATCCTGTATATTCTGCAATGATTTGCACTAACAGAGGTTGAATCAATCTGGAAACGCACATCATCTACCAATCGCCCGATGCAGTGCTCATCAGCAGTTAATAAAATATTAATTCCCTGGTTACAATCATTCAAACAAGTGAGATTTGATAGAGCAATGTATAATCAAACAAAAAAAAGAACAATTAAATGAAGACAAACAAAGTGCTAACATGATTAATCGATTGGTCACAGCGAGAACTGCCAAGAGTAAACCCCCATGCAGAATTTAACTCCAGCATAACTTTTTTTTTCTAGAAGTTCACATATGTTTACAGATCAAATACAACACAGTTTAATAACAAGTTAATAAATTCAAAATTTTAAACATTTGTGTCATATAATAAAGCAAGTTAATTTTGTATTTATATTTTAATTAAATGAAACACGTGCCAAAATATTAGTCACTAATCCCAAAAAAGTAGATATACTCTCATAAAAAAAAATAACCACCTTGATCCTTTAAATTAAAAAAAAAACTAATTTCATGTAAAATTTAAAGACTGAATGGGATGCTTAATTTAAATTAAGAATCAAATTACAAGCTAATTAAAATTCAAAAGGAAAATTGGGGGTTAATGGGATTTGAGGAGAAAGCGAACCTGGTGCCTTTTGCGGGCATTGTTGGAGATGGCAGTGAGGACGCCCCAAACGTTAGGATCAGAATTGATAAGAGGCTGTGAAGCCACGTTGGAAGCAACAGAGACAATGCGATCTCTGGGGCTCAAACTCAATGGATGGTTCTTTGGAGAATCCTCTCCACCAACACCACCAATGGGTGTAGAGGCTAGGGTGGGGGTTTCGAGTTTCTTTCCCTCCATCGCCATTGCAGTTGCGTAGAGAGAGAGGGAGAGAGAGAGAATTGGCGGGGATTTTGAAACCCTAATTACCTGATTTTTGTGCGTGGAAGTGTGAACCCTGAAGTGAAGTGTGAAGTGTGAACCGTGTGAAGTGCGAAACAGCTTGCCTTGGAAGACTTGCAATTAAAAAAAAATTAAAAAGATTTTAATTAAAGGTTTTTTTTTTCTTAAAATAAATTTACTGTCTTTTGTAGATGAGAAATTTTTTTATCGAAAAATCATGATTTTCAAGAATATGGTAGAAAAATAAATTTTTCAAAAATATTATCAAAAAAATTATTTGGTGAGGCAAAATATTCCCAAGAATGTTGGATTAATTTACTTGATGCTACCTTTGAATTTGATTGTGTTAAATTTTTCCTTGTCATGGGAATCCTTAAATATCACTCCTAGGTGATATTCTTAGATGGTATTTTCAAAAAAATTACACACAAAATAAAATTTTAAAATAATCATATTTTCAAAAAAATTACACAAAATAAAATCCCGAAAAAATCATCTTCAAAAAAATTTAAAAAATCTTGTACCAAACATAAATAAAATAAAATTATCATCTTCAACTTTTCATCAATCCTTAAAAAATATATTGTATCAAACTCCCCTTAGCATTAATAGTTTCTGTTTGAGAAATTTCTCAATTGGTGGAGAAACTATTAACTCTCCTTTAGAAACAAAAGAGCATGGACTCACTAGATTTAAAAAAAGGCTTATCTAATCTCATGTTGCATAAGAGAAGATTTCTTATATTATAGACACACATGTAGCGGGGCTCGCTATTTAATAAAAAAAAGAATGTCACAATTTTCAATGAGTCTATTGAAGATAAAACTATTCTTATGCTGCATAAGAATAGTTTTTCCCTTAAAAAAACATAATTGGATGTTTTTTTTTTTGTCTGCATTCTCCGAGAGAACCAAAATAACAAAATGAATGATTTGGTTTGCGGATATTTTTTTTAATTGATGTGAATCTATACATGAGCACGTTCCATTTATATGTTGGGTTTTATTACTATCATGTTACATAATCCAAGAAAATTTTTCTACACACACAATTAAGAGGTGGGGTCCACATGTTTTTTTTTCTCTTTCATCATTCCACCTTCTCTCTCTTCTTTATTGTGAGGGTAGAAAAATGTTCTTACATCATGTAACATTATAGTAATAAAACCCTTATATGTTTTGTACAAGATTTTCAAAACATTCCCGTCCAAAATTGATTCCTAAAAGTGATTTGGCCAAACATTCCTAATTCTGTCATTCTTCATAAAATTGATTTCTATTAATAATATTGGAAATTATACTACCTAAACAAAACTTTTCAGTTCCTCCCCTCTCTCATTTATTTTTATAAATACCAAATTCTAAAATGACATTTTTATTTTTCCCTCACAACGCGTTCTTTACCCAAACCCATCCTTTTCTTTCCCTTCATCCACTCTCATTCTATTTCTCATTTTCTTAAACATTAGTCATGGACCTAGTTACCTCTTTTCAGTCAAAGAGGAAGCAAGATGGGATCTTTAGTGAAAAAGGGATCGGACTGAAAAATTACTTGAAACAACTCCAGCAACACCCTTTCAGAACAAAGGTCTCTCTTCTTCATTTATTACTGCATCTATCTCATTTTTAATTTCTCTTTACATGGCTTGCTTTCCTTGCTTCTTTTTTTCATCCATTTTCATTGACCTGTTGTTTTGTTAGTCCTAAAAGAGCTGCTTTTAATGGTTCACGTAATAGATTGGTTGTAGGTGGCTAGCGATTAGCATCTTGGAAGAATTTATAAGAAACAGTCTAAAGGTCTAACCTTGCACGCGAAATTTAGAATCTATGGGTCACAAGCCTGAGTGTGCTTTGTGGCAGCGATGTGTAGATCAAGTACAAACTTTCTTAGCATATAATCAGTCTCCTCAAAATATGGAAAAAGGATTTCGGGAAAAAAAATTTATAGTTCTTTCTTTATTAATGCTTATGTTTCAGGGGTATCAGTGAGGAAAATGCAAAAAATGCATAATGGTGAAAAATAAAAAGATCAAGTCTTTATAACGTTGAAAGCAAACAATTAACCATGAAACCAATATCATTAATGAAATTAGGGTTAAGAAGAAGAAGAATAGTTTATGCGTATATTAGGTGGAGGATGAAGATATGGGTTACCCTCTTTTGGTTTTTCAATTTTGCAGCTTCCCATTTTTTTTTCTTTTATTTGTATGTGCACCATTGCAATTGTGACTTTATAATAACCAAAAGGATGTATTATTATATATCCTTTCATTTTTTTATTTTTTTTATTTTTCTCTTCACCGAACATCATTACTAATATCTTTTGTATATCTAAAAAAAATCAATTTTCTTTATTTTCTGTATGACTTTTATGATGTATCCTTTGTTTATCCTTTTTATTTTCTTTTGTTTTTCTCCAACAAAATTAAATAATATTCAAAACTTATTTCGGTAAAATTTTCCAAAAATTAATATGCTTTAAATTTAAATAAAATATTAAAATACAAAAAACATCTCATAGTAAAAGAAAATAACTTTTGAAATTATGCAAACCTGAATGTCTTGAAAATTTCAAGGAATTCCTATTATAATTCTGATTGCGTGGAAAATTTCAAAGGTCACCATAGACATTTTCAGAACACAAAGTAATTATATTACGAGGAGTCTTTTAACAGTTAAAAAAAATAATAGTAATTAATATACCTATTAGGAATATTTCATTTACTGTGTAATTGTTGTAATTGCTGATGCTAATTATGAGTTGCCAATTTGATGAATAAAAATGAGAAATCGTTAATCCTAAGATGAATGAGATGTTAATGGAATCCTCGTAAAGATGGGAGTTGCCAATGTTCATAATGATAAGATGGAAAACGAAAAATAACTATACGAGATATAGAATTTAAAATCACATATGAATGAAAAACATTTTATTTTAATTTGAAATTTAAGATATTTAAACTAAATAGTTAGTGCGAAAAGAGTTTAGCATTAATTAATGGCAAACAAGTGTATTGATATCCTACTAGTTTTTTAAAATTCAAAATTTGAAGTTGATATAGGTGGGAAAAGGGGTTTAACATCTTTTAGCAGGAGACAACTATATTAAATTTCTATCTATTATCTTCATCAAAAAAAAAAATTCCATCTATTATATACTTAAAAGGAGAACCAAAAAAATTGATGTGTCAAGCTCTCATGCAGTTTCAGCTTTGTGTTCACACTTGAATGTCAATTTAAAAAAAATTACATAATAAGTTTTTACTTAAATCAAAAATCGAAATTAAGAAATTAGTGGGAGACATTTAATTAATGATTCACTATCATTCTTACATTGGAACCTGTAAGGTTTTTAATTGTTATATTGGAAGATGGAAGGTTCTTTACTAATGTTACTTGAAAATAGAAAAATCATCATTTGATATTTTCTTATAACCTTCAAATCATTCAGACGCTTAATCTTCTACCTCCTGTGTGTTCTCACTTGCTTGCCAATTTTGAAATAAATAAATAACTAAAAAATAAGTTTTGAGTAAATTAAATTTCAAAATTAAAGTGTTAGTGGCAGACATCAAATTAATGTCCCACTATCTTTTCTATATTGGAATTGTAAGGATTTTAATTATTCTATTGGAAGGTGGAAGGTGCATTACCAATGTTACTTGAAAATGGAAAACTCATCATTTCATGGAGAATATACACAACCTTCTATGCATGTTTCCAACTACTTTTAGTATGGAAAATTGTTAAATCTATTAATAATATTTGTTATTATGTCTATTGGGTGGGAAAATATTTAATATTCTAAAATTCAAACTTTTAAATTTGAATTTTTAACTTGATAAGTGGGAAAAGAATTCCGCATTAATGTTTCTGTAGTGGAAAAAAAATATAATAAAATTAGTTTTAAATAATAAATTATAAGTTAAACAAAAAATTGTTTCAAATTTATAAAGAAATATGTATAGTTGATAAAAATTAATTTAAATTTGAAATTTAAATAAAAAAATTAGAAATGACATATTTATACCTTAAATAAATTAAAACTTTCACTTTAAAAAGTAATACAAAAAGAGAAAAAAAAATTCACACAAGTATTTTTTTAACATAAATGTATAACCAATATTAAAAAATATAAAAATTATAAATTAAAAGAGAATTTTTTTTTCAAAAATATGTCTAATTAATACAAAAATATTCGATTATATTAAATGCAATTCAATTCAATTCACCAAACATTTGATTAGTAGAATACTTTTTGTATCAACTCATATTTCTTCATTATAAATGTGTTACAAATATAAAAAAATATGTTCAATAAAATAAAAGAATTTAAATAAAAATAAAAAATGACATTTATCATTCTGTAAAAAATGATAATAAAACTTAATAGCTATAAAAATATGAGTTTTAATTTAATATATAAGAAAGAAATTAAACTTTCATTCTTTTGATGTAAGAGTAAAAAATAATTGCAATTTCTTATGTCGTAAATGAAATCTAGAAATTATTAATTGGAGAATGTGCACATCCTTCTATGCATGTTTTTCACTACTTTGTGTATGGAAAATTATTAAACCTACTAATAATATTAATTATTATGTTTATTGGGTGGAAAATTATTTAATAAGTAAAAAAAGAGTTCAGCATTTAATGTTCATATAATGGGAAAAAGATATATATATATATATATATATATATATAAGAAATTTGAATTTTAATATAGAGTTATAGATTAAACAAGAAATATATTTAAAATTATAAAATGTATGTATAGTTGATAAAAAAAATTAAAATTAAAATTTAAATAAAAAATAAGAAATGAAGTATTTATACTTTACAAGAAAATTTATTAAAATTTTAACTTAAAAACGTATTACAAAAAGAGAAAAAAAAGTTCATACAAGTATTTTTTAAAAAAATATTTAATATAAATATTTTAAATATACATGTATAACCAATTTAAAAACATGTATAAAAATTATAAATTAAAAGAGAGAAAAAACCATATAAAAATGTGTAATTAATACA